TTCTGTTTCCTTTCTTCCCTTTTAATTAATTATGTGTGCTGCTTAGACGATTTACATAGTGTCCATTTCCAGTCTGGGTCACTGAAATAATGAGGGAACTTCAAAGCTCTCAGAGTCATCTTAATTTCCAGCCCCACATTTCAATTAGCAACACAACCCTATTAATAATTTAGAGATTTAAAAAAACGGAGGAATATTCTCTCTGCAGATCTGAGCAGATGGAATCTTTCTCCATCTCTTCTACCTCTTCATCCAGCTTTTAGTTTTTAAATGTGCTGCTCACCCTTCTATGATCTGCACCTTTGTAGGTACCATCTTAGGGCTGTTTTTTATGAAACTCTGAGTTTGTACTAACTTGTTTCTTTGCTCAGTCAGTTGTGTAACTTTAGCACCTCTACTTTGTATTCTTTACTCCAGCCAAGACTTTTGTCTGTAGCCATAACACTGTCCTTGTGACAGGAGAGCTGTGCTTATATAACTCTTACATCAGTCCTCGCTGCTAGTTTGCATTTTCTCACCGTTTTCCCATTCAAAAAGGAGTTCTGATGACATGTAATCTGCTTACTCTTTGTTTCAAAAGCAGCAGCCCTCTTCCTTCAAGATTTTCTTTTTTTCCCAGGAAGATATCTGGGTGGGAAGGTGCATTGATGCAGCAGAGATTGTAGTCCTACTTTCTGCCCCTCTGCCAGCTCAGGTGACACCCCACCTGCAGTGCTGCCTCCAGCTCTGGGGTCCCCAGCACGGGAAGGACAAGGAGCTGCTGGAGCAAGTCCAAAGGGGCCATGGAGATGCTCTGAGGTCTGGAGCCCCTCTGCTCTGGAGCCAGGCTGGGAGAGCTGGGGGTGTTCACCTGGAAAAGAGAAGGCTCCAGGAAGACCTTAGAGCCCTTCCAGTGCCTAAAGGGGCTCCAAGAGAGCTGGAGAGGGACTTTGGACAAGGGCCTGGAGGGACAGGACAAGGAGGAATGGCTTCCCACTGTCAGAGGGCAGGGTCAGATGGGATATTGGGAAGGAATTGTTGGCTGTGAGAGTGGTGAGGCCCTGGCCCAGGTTGCCCAGAGAAGCTGTGGCTGCCCCATCCCTGGAAGTGTCCAAGGCCAAGGTTGGATAGGGCTTGGAGTAACCTGAGATAGTGAAAGGTGTCCCTGCCCATGGCAGGGAATGGAAGTGGATAAGCTTTAAGGTCTCTTCTAACCCAAACCATTCCCTGGTTCTGTGATACCAGAAAAAGAAAGAGCTCAGGAGTTTGGGTTTCAGCCTCCTCTCATGTCAGCAACTGGTGCTGTGTCTGGCTCTGAGCTCTGGGAGTGCTGGATCCACTGGGAGTTGTCAGTGATTTCTTGGAGTCTTCTGAAGGGAATTTCAAGAGCGTGAGGGATTTTATGTTTGATACCCTGTCACATAACACAGGCTGGTCCCCCAATAGCTGTTGGGTTTTGTCCTCTTTGAATTTTCATTCAGTGCAACAGGGAGCCAAAACCTCCCTGAGATGAGAACACTTAAATGAAGCGTTACATGGAAAGCTTGTTTGGTAGAAAAATTAAATCCATAATTAATCTATCCTGAAAAACAGAAAATTAAAAATTGATTTATTCTACCAATTATATATAGGCAAATTCTGGGTTTTTTTGCAGTAGCATTTTAACTACCTCTTTTTTTCAGATACCTACTGACTCTTTAGAAGAATGTCACGGAATTCCAAGCTGGTTTGGGTTGGGAGGGACCTTAAAGCCCGTCCAGTCCCACCCCCTACCATGAGCAGGGACACCTTCCACTATTCCAGGTTGCTCCAAGCCCCATCCAACCTGGCCTTGGACACTTCCAGGGATGGGGCAGCCACAACTTCTCTGGGCAACCTGTGCCAGGGCCTCACCACCCTCACAGGAAGAATTCCTTCCCAATATCCCATCTAATCCTGCCCTCCAGGTACATCTCATCATATGTAGACCAATTGCAGAGGAAAAAACTTCTGAGATGAAAAAAGAAATTCTTCTATCTTGTATTCTGAAAAAAACCTGCTGCTTTTCTATTCTTCCAAGATCCTTGGAGGTTTGGAGTTTGTCAAGCTGTTTCATCCCATCTTTAAATCAGTTGCGAACATGCAACAGTTTTCTGTGCCTCTGTCTTTCCAGCAGGGAAGGAATGTCTTCTCTTGTGCTTTCTTATAAACAGGGATTAGTGGTTTTGCCTCACAAAAGGTCCATTAATTCAGAAGGGATATTTTGTTGTAATTAATTTACATAAAACTCCTGTTTTGCTTAGATTAAGGATTTTCTTTAGAAGAGAACAAACTGCAGATGCTGATAATGAGATGCTTGCTTGAAGCTGATAAATAGCAGGTTGTATTTGTGCTTCTTTCATAGTTTCTTTATCTCATTCAAGAAATAATATGATTTTTGAGCTCTCTTGGATTGAATAATCTCAGTGCGTCGTGTGTGACGTGTTGAGCAATGACCTCTAATCCCCACCAGGGAGAATTACGGTTCTTTCACTGGTTTAAATGGGGAAAAGCACTGAGCACTGGTGTTTCCATGAGGAGGTGGGAAGCCTTGCAGGAATTAAGGAATCTGATGAAGCATTGATGTGACTCAGCTCCTGCAGTTGGGGGGTGGCTCTTTGCTGACTCTCTTGGACTGATCCTCTTTCCTCAGGAAAGAAAGGCCCTGAAAATTAGGATAGAACAAAATGTAGGTAAGAAAAGTGTAATTACTAAAGCTGGAATTAGTCCAGGGTAATAATTAATAATGCTGAAATGAATAAAAGGCTTAATTACCGCAAGTCCACAGAGCATGAAATGTTACTCCTTTCAAGCACAGGCCCTTCAATTCCACTGTGGTGCAAAGAACAGCAGAATTCCCAGGGGATTTTTTCTATAGGTTTTTCAGCATTTCTATGTGTTTTCTTTTTATTTACCAAGGGTAAATAATGGAGCAGATTACAGGCATGTGCAAACCCACTTCTTATCAAAATATATTAAATTTCAGCCTTTCCTGTAGCCATTCCTGCAGCAAATAGTCCCTTGGGAGCAGTTTCTGCAGGGGAGTCAACTCACACTCATTTCTCACAGGATCTTAGCAATGCACCACAATTCAGGTTCAAGTTCCTTTGCTATTCAAGTGTTAATCTCTTCTTAAATCCAACTTGTTCATCTCTCCAACTCACATCTGGGATTGGATTAGTTTGTGTCTCCTGAAGAGGACATTTCCAATAGATAATCCAATTAATCCACAAACCTAATTTTATCATGACAGTCAGGCCTTACCAAAGCATTTGAGGAAGGCAGAGTAATTAACTCACTTCTGTTTATCTGCTTTTTTCCCTCTAGCTTTTAAAACAACTTTCTGTTGAAGAAGAAATTACAGTTATTTTTATGAACTGCAATAATGGAAATGCTTTTGTTTGCATAAGCAAAAGAAAAAACCTTTAAAAATTGGTTTGGCTGCTGTAATTACTATTTTTAGTGTGGTTCTATCACTTGGCTATTTGTAAACTTTCTGGCTGGTCTTTTATCCTGTTTTTGTTGTAGGGTTTTATTAAAATGGTGTGTTTGATGCCTGTGCCCACAGCAGAGGAGAATAAAGCCCAGCAAAGTGCTTTGTAATTCCTGTGGGAAGAAGGGTTTGCCAAGGAGTTTTTGAAGTCCATGTCACTGTTCAGTTGTTCATTATCCTCCAATGGCTTGAAAAGCTACAAATAATTTGCTATTCCAAGGGCATTTATTTTTACTTTGTCAGGGTTTGAATTACGTTGCTTCCTGGATGTGAATCCCAAGAGGTTGGGCAGCTCCAGAAGTGGCTCTCGTTGGGAATTACGTGTTGTAGGACCAGTGCTCTGTCAGTTTTTGTCTGTTTTGGTCTTGTGCACTCAACTGAAGGATTTGGGAAGATTTCTGGAGCTAAAAGTGCAGTGCAGGTATCAGTAGGGACAGATTGGTGTTGAGGGAATGGCGAGCCTTATTTTATTTTACTCGGACTAGTTTAGTGCATTTTTTCCCTAAATGTAACTCAAAGCCTTGTAAGTGGTTTAGAAAATGGAAGCTGAATGTTTAGCCCTTCTTGCCTTTGTGATAACATGTTCCAGGACAGCCTGATTTATCTATAATGTTAAAATAACTTCTCAAGATGTCAATATTTATTCCAGATTTAGGGACTGCCTGACATTATAAAATCTACTTATTGACTGCTCTCTCCATTCTGCAGTGGTGAGTTAAAGTGTTTTGTTCCAGTGACAAATAATAAGACCCAGTTTTGTAAACTCACTCGAGGGAGTTAGAGGTGCTCACACAAACTGAGGGACCGTCTGCAGCACTTGGCATCGAGGATGGGAGAAGTTTGGGAATGGGGAAACTTCCTAGACATCTATTTTACCATAGAAAAAGTCCTTTCTGTGAGTTTTCAGCAGCCTAAGGCGGTACAAGAGGAGCAGGAATGGCAGGTGACCCAAACACCTGCTCTGGGGATGTGTTTGTTCTGGTTCTGTAAGCAGGGAAATTGGTGTTCTTTATTCCTCTGGTTGAGGACTCAGTGGAAATGCCTCAACAGTGGCTGTGGGAAGCTGAGGAACTCTGCTGGTGTCAGAGGAACCAGATATTAACAGTAATTTCTCAGAGAGAATCAGAACCTCTGCCTGATTCACCACCGTGACTCATGATCCAGGGACTGACACGTCCCTCTGTGCTTTGATGAACGTGCTTGTACTTGTGCCTCCACACAGTTATTTTCACTGTTAAACCAAACAATGGTTGTGGCTGGGCTTGGAGTGTTTCCTTCTGTCCTGGTGTAGGGAAAAGCTGCTGGGCTGAGGTTGTGTTTTGTGGTTCCACTGGCAAATCACACTTCTCCATGTTCTGGAGAAAGGTAAAACAAGAGCTGCAGAATGCAGACTACAGAGATCCCTCAGAAAAACTGTATTTATGGACTGCAATCTTGATGATAAATCTAAATAAGAATCCCCAAAATGCTGTTGGTTTCAGTAACTTTGTTTTCTCCCCTTTTTCTTCAGTATGCTGCTTGGAGATGACAACCAAAAGGAAGATCATCGGCCGCCTGGTGCCGTGCCGGTGTTTCCGAGGGGAGGAAGAGATCGTGTCCGTGTTGGATTACTCTCACTGTGGCCTGCAGCAGGTGCCAAAGGAGGTTTTTAATTTTGAGAGGACCTTGGAGGAGCTTTACCTTGATGCCAACCAGATTGAAGAGCTACCCAAGGTAATCCGTGTTCTGCTGGAAGACAACCTTGAGTCCTAAAATGTGTGTTGGACAGGGATGGCTCCTTTGGTCGGGAGAAGAGGAGACTGAGGGGAGACCTCATTGCAGTTACAACTTCCTTGGGAGGGGAAGAGGGGCTGGTGGCTCTGGGGGTTCAAGGGCAACTTTGTACAGTTTCTCCTGCCTTCTCGAACAGCCCAAGCAGCCAAACCCTCATCCTTACACTCCATGCTGGATAGGGCGGAGCAGGAGCACCGATGACTCCTTCCCAGGAGAGGAACATGGACAGTGGAGCCTTAAACTGGGAAATGAACAACTGTCCAAAAGAAATGGTTCTGCACAAGTAATTCCTGTGGCATTTGGTAGCTTGATCAGGAGCCACTACATTTGAATCCTCTTTATCCCTGCTTTTCAAAGGAAGGTCTCTGTCAGAATGAACCCTTTATCCTTCTGGGATATCAGTGGGACCCTTCCAACTCAGAATATTCTGTGATTTTGTTGGGAAGTGCCAGTGCTGAGTAGGAGTTTCACAACTGCAATGAGATCACCTAAGTTATCCTTCCTGAGTAAAATTCCTCTTACAGAATCTTTCAATCTGTTCTTCTGCTGATTAATATTTACTAGGAGGAATTAAAAGTTACTGTAACTTAAGTGTTCTGGAAACAAAAGAGAGCAAGGTGGTGGAAAAACCAATTAATGGCTGGTGCTGGCTACATAATGAAGCATGAAGGGATGTAATCCAGCCCTTAATTGAATTTCTCTCCACAATAATGAAAGATGCTCACAAGTCTTTAATTAAACGCTGTCCCCTGTAATCCACTCTCCATCATCTCACAGCACATTTCTCAGTTAGGCTGCACAGAGACTTCCTAGAAATTCTATTTCCAAATGTAGAAAATGTGCTTTTCCTATTCCATGGAGTTGCTTTACTGGGATGTGATGGGTCATTGCTTGAGGTCATTGACTCCATCCCCAGTTCTGCACAGATGGGAAGGCAGGGCAGCTCCAGGAGCTTTAGTTCATGGGCAAAAAATGGCTGTGATGAGCTGCCTGATCCCTCCTAGAGAAGAAAACAGAGAACCAGGAGTTTTTTCTGTTCCCATAAACATGAAATGGGTCCTGGTGGAGACCATTTGCTGCTGATGGATCCCTGAGATCCAGCTCTCTTTTATGTCATGGTTTCATTGTGCTACGGAAGAATATTGGAAATGTCTAATTTAGGTAGGGATTTGGGGTATTTTTGGGCTGGATCTTTATAATTTGCTATATGTATTTTGGGTTGGAAGTATCAAAGTGGTTTTCAGACTGAGCTGCAGTGGCTGATGGAAGACAAATAGAGCAGGGCATAGAAAAATGCCATGATTCCATATGGGAAAACTGACGACCAAAGGGAAGGAGGCAAAAATTAGGAAGGTGATAGTTTTTAGTTTTAATTTATTGTAAACACAGCATTTATCACAGTCTTGGCCGTGTGTAAGAGAAGATTAATAAGAGTTAATTTGTTTTCTTACTAGTGATCATTTTTTGTCTTAAGCCTTTATTAATCATTACTGTGAATTAAACAGCCCAAATAATTCCTTTATCGAATTTGCTGCTTCAGATATTTTTGCCCCATGGCTCTGAACCTTTTTTCCACTGTTTAATTAATATTCTATGGGAGAAAATGGCATTTTTTTTCCTGAAAATGGCACTATATTACTTACCATTAACTTTGCATTACATGTTGCATTCTACCGCAGGCAGAACTTTAGCCCCTCTCTAAATAGAATTTCAAATAACTTCTTCCACAGGACATTTTTGTTAATTTTCCATTCTTTGCCAGATGTTTTGTGCCTCTGATATTACAACATTTTTTTGAAATTCCTTATCATCTTGAACTTGATCATGTTTAAAAATATAATGATAAAATTATAAAAGTTATAAAAATTATAGAAGCACTGCTAAAAACTCTGTTAAGTCCCGATCTACCCTACTTGCTTTCACTGCTACGTGATACTCTAGAACTCAGTAAATTATTTTGCATTAAGCTGATGCATTCAACTCATTCTGCCTGCTTTTATTTTTGGTTTTACCTTACATTTGATATATCATAATTATGATTTTTCTGTTACTTCATTAGAAATTAGGGTTTAGTTTGTAATTTTTATATTTCTTTTTTCTTTGAAGGATTTGCAGGATTGTTATATAATTCTTACCCTGTTTTCCCCTAAATCTTGCCAAGTCTTTATTTTCTTTGCCTTTGAATTCATCATCATGAGCTGCTGCTGCACAAATGTCCCTTATTTGGGTGAGTCAAATGAATGGATGACTAATAAAAAAGAATATTGATCTTAATGAAGGTGGAGTGACTGGAAATCAACATCCAGAAAAACAGGAGTGGGATGAAAATTCTCCCCAGGAACCTTTGGAGCAGCCAAAACCTTTCTGACTTGAGATATTCAGGATAAAAGTCCATTGTTATAATTAAATCTCAATGAGCACCTCTTGGGTTTTACTCTGAAAGGAATTTAAGTCATGTATGGATATCCAGAGTGATGATTCCAACCAAATCAGGATGGCAAGGCCAGGAAGCTCCAGAAACTCAGAAAAACACCTTTGGAACGTCCAATGGGGGGAAAAATTGCCCATCCAGTGGGCAATTTTGGGCCTACGTTCCCCACCCTTATATTCTTTCTGATACAATAGTACCTCATTCAAATCACTCCAGAGGGAATATTTTTTATTAGACCTCTTCCTTCAGCAGTTCCAAAGCCTTGGATGTGTTCACAGAGTGTCAGAACTCTGAGTTCCAAACCTTCCTCGGCTTCTGAAATAAGAATTCTCCAGGGAATGGCTGGGAATGTGCACTGGGCATTTCATTTTCCATACAGTATTTCTTTTGTGGAGTTTAACTCATGAAATTTTCTGCCCAAACCTTGGCCTGGTTTGTATTTGTATCAAAATCCTGCAGGTTCCTCCTGCTGAACATCCCCAGGGTCTGGAGCTGCTCTTGTGTAGAACAAGAGCCACCTCCAGAGCCTCTTACTTATGGTACTTTCCAGACTCATCCCAAATGATGTGCTTCCTTACAAAAGGAAAAGCAGGTGCTCTTGGAAGGGAATTCCTTGTTCTCCAGAGAGAGATTTCCTGTGGATGAGGTGAAAAGTGCCTGCATGGAATGGGTTCTCCTATCCCTCTTGGGTTGTGCTTCTCATCCTGAGTATTCATTATTCACATGATTCCCTCCCATTTTCTGAGAATTGGTCATTTTGAAGGAAAAGCAGAATTTTTCTAAAGGATTATCATAGAAAGTTACCTCAGAAATATTTCAAATTGTTCTAAAATTTGCTTGAAGCGAAGCAACAAGTGGCCATTTTCAAGCCCTTTTGATGTTAGTTTTCTCCTCCCTGGATTCTTGACTGAGTTTTCCATCTAGGAAATCAAATTATTTTGCATTCCCAGATAGGCTGTGAGCGAGTTTATGGACTTTATTCTCACAGATGAGTCTATGAGAAAGACTAAATCTGATGAGAACTGCACTGATACTGGAAGGACCCTTGTGAGATGCTTGCAAAGAGCAGTTGTTTTCCAGAACCCACTGAATTTTCTGGTGAAAACTGGAGACCTGCTTTTATAAAATAAGAATTTGAATGAAAAGTAAGAATCAAGTCCTGAATTTTGAGGGGGAATAGAAAAACCATTGTATTAATGTCAGAACATTTTTATACCTTGAAGATAATTAATTTAATCTGCATGAAGTCAAAATATAATTAAAATATGTAATGAAAAATATGTAATGAAATTAAATATTTTTCACCACAAGACACAAAATTTTTTCAATTGATATGAAACATGTAAACCAGATCAATAATGTATAATTATTATATATGATGTACTAATATAAATACTTACAAAACATTGATTGCAATGACTATGCAGTTTTGGACAGAAGGCTCTTCTTTACCATTGCCACTGCTAATTTGGGTTATTCCTATCGACTGTAAGAATGTGTTCTCGAAAAAAATATGTTTTGAGGATTGAATTCTTCTGGAGCAAGTGGAGTTTTGTGGTATTTTACAGATTCAGAGTTGGAAGGGACCTACAAAGATCATCGAGTCCAACTCCTGGCCCTGCCCAGGACCATTCTGTGTATAAATAATGTTCTCAAACTGTTTGTTTTCCCTGAAACTCTGTAAATCGTCTTTTTTTTTTTTTTTTATTGCAGCAACTGTTCAACTGTCAGGCTTTACGGAAGCTGAGCATCCCTGACAACGACCTGTCCAGCCTCCCCACCACCATCGCCAGCCTCGTGAACCTCAGAGAGCTTGATATCAGTAAAAATGGTGAGACATCCAAAGTATCTTAAGGAACTGTGAATATGAGCAATAATGAAGTTTTAATTCCTAATGGTTAAGAACCTCGTGCTCTGGGTCTGGATTATGGCCTGGCACTTTGGAGAAGGTTCCATAAAGATCTACCTTGTTTATTTTTCTTTTAAAAATCAGACTTTGGTTTGGCATCACATGACTTGTGCCCAAAAAATATTGGCAAGAGGAGTGTGAGGCCACTTTTCAGTGCACTTATGAACTGTTCCACTTCCCGAAGTGGCTTAGAACTCACTAGGCTCTTGTGTGAAGGATTTAAGCACATGGGGCTGTGGGTAAAGAATTCCAGGATTTGTATAGATTAATTTGCTGATGTGCATCCCCAGTTATGCATTTACACATTTATGTACCTAAAAACCTTTGCAAGCCTGAACTCAAGTGTCTTTGTTTTAAAAATGATGCTTTGGCGCTCCTGGAAATGTTGGGAAATTTCTTATCAGTGGAGTCCTCGAGACTCTCGGGATTCTCTGTGTTCTCGGAAGAGACAAAGAGAAGCCGTTTGGGAAGAAATGAAAGGCACAGATACCAGTACAGATGATGTCACTATTTAACTCTAGAAGATTATATAAATCAAGCATTAGCATAATAGCCATAGTATAAGGCATAGATTCTGTTCTGGTGTGTTTATTTAGGGCTTAAGTACTTTTAGACTGTAATACTCAATGTGTGTATCCCTCCTGTTGGAGCGGAAGTCTGATCTGAAAATACCAAATGAACTCACTTATGAACAAAACAAATAAACAGGTTTTTGTGTAAATAATAATTCTTTCCATGTTTTTTTTAGGAATTCAAGATTTTCCAGAAAATATCAAGTGTTGTAAATGTTTAACGATTATCGAAGCCAGTGTGAACCCCGTGTCCAAGTGAGTATCAGCAGCTGGATTTGCATTCTGTAGGTGCAGAAAAATAAGCTCAGATTTAAAGGAATTGTGTCAAGTTCATTTGCAGGATTAATCTAACTTTCTTTTTAATTGTTTCAAACCCAGAGGGGATGACTCTATTGGAAGATCCGAGTCCTCTGTTAATGGATGTGGGGGTCTTTCCACTTAGCAGAGAAAGAGTTGGCAAAGCACAGAGGCTGAGATTTCATGTGTTTGGCCACTGAAAACCTCTTGGTTGGGGCTTTGGTGACACTTTTCCCTTCCAAGAAGTTGCAGTAATAGTAACAAAAAATCTGGGTTGTAAAGCTAGGAATTATGAAATGGAATGAAGGAGGCAAAAGGATGAAATTTTACTACTTCAGTTTAAAAAAATTGAGAGAAAGAGGAAGAGAAAGAATGAGAGGAAGCGAAAGAATGAGAGAATGAGAGAAAAAGAGGGAGAGAGAGAGAGACAGGAAGAGAGAGAAAGAAAGAAAGAGAGAAAGAAAGAAAAAGAAAAGAAAGAAAGAAAGGAAGAAAAAGAAAGAAAGGAAAGAAAGAAAGAAAGACACCTTTGGCTTAAACCCTTACCTAGGAAGGAGGAAAAGGCTATTTAATGTGGTTATTCCAATGTGGAGAAGATGAGAATGAACAAAATTGTCTGTAATGAGTAAGTTCTTCTGGAAAATTTGGATAGACAAAGAAGGTGAGAGAGAAAGTCACCTTTCTTCTTCTAAATATACATTGTTTTATTTCCATGGCAACGCTGAGGTGAGCATTAAGGGTTTTGCTGTTTTTTAGGCTGCCAGATGGCTTCACACAACTTCTAAATCTGACCCAGCTCTATCTAAATGATGCCTTTTTGGAGTTTCTTCCAGCTAACTTTGGAAGGTAAGGATGAGTCATCAAAGCACAGTGATCGTGCATTTGAACCTGGCTTAGGCTCTAAGGGTCTGGTTTAAATCTGCCTTCTCTTGAAAAACTAAACAAAAAACAGAGATTTTGGCTTTTCAGCACAATTTTGATGAATGATTGTTGTAGAGGGAATGTTGTGTCAGCAATAATGTGGTGATGAAGTGATGCAGTTTGGCCGTTGAGGGAAAAGGTGAGAAGAAATAGAACTTGGAGGGGACTGTCCTTCATCAAATGTGTGACTCAGTTGTGGCAAGGGCAGAAAACAGCAATATGGGTTCTGCCATTGAAAAATGGGCTGAAAGATAAAGGCTGTGAGTCAGAAGGGAAGAAAGAAAGGACTGAAAGGCAACATGTGAAACCAGAACAAGAGAAGATTCAAAAGACAGTGGAGCAGAAGGGCTGGAGAATGAGGGTAAAAATAAATGCAGCAGAAACAGAGCCAAAAAATGTTAGATAAGGACAAAGCAGAGGTGGTGGAATTCAAAGTTGACCCAATTTGCCATAAAAGGGGGCAGGAGGAGCTGGTGGATCCCTACCCTGCCCAACTGAGGCAGAAATGGGGAGTTTATTCCACATGATGAAGGTGATGGTTGGCCTTTCTGCCCCTGGACTGTCCACCTGGCCACAGAGCTCAGAAGACAAAAGATGAACAGAGAAAATATTTGGCATTGTTACAGAATTCACCTAATACCAGTTTTATACTTATCCGCCCTGTATGTTTTATGGTTCAAGTGGGAACACCAACCCAGCACTCTGAAACTAATCCTGAGGTTGTAAGTGATGTTGGTCTGCTCAGACCTGGGGAAATCAAGTGCTGCTTTAGCACAGGCCTGGCCCTGACCCAGAGCTGAGCCTGGCTGGAATACACCAGCTTTTCACAGTAACTCTAAACTATTTTATTAATGACTTGAGCAAAGTAAACAGAGTAAAATTTCATTTCTCTCAAGCATTTCCAGGTTTACTGAAGGATAAAAAGCAACTGCTCTTCAGTTCACAAGTTCCTTTAAAATCTTCTGCGAATTCTACAACCCCTCACAGGTCTCCTTTTAATTTACAGTATTTTTAGCAGAAGTAGGACATGTGCTGAGTGTTGGTATGAATTAGAACTTACACGCAACAGCCCTTCCAAACTCCATTGTGCTATGAGGTGAATTCTGTCAAAGCTTTTCAGAAGAGTTCCACTGAGGACAGACATGTCCTGCCTGAGTGTGTCTGTCCTTACGTGAAATTATTTGGTTCTGAACACATTTTGTACCCCAGAAGAACTGGACATTGGACTGTAGTGCATGAAACAGACTCTTCCTTTATTGAAATAAGTAATTTTAAATCATTCTTATGGATGCCTGAACTAATTCACTGAATGAACTCATTATTTTTTATCCTATTTCTAGACTTGTCAAATTGCGAATTTTGGAGTTAAGAGAAAACCACTTGAAAACTCTACCAAAGTAAGTGATGGAATATTTACATTTATTCACCTGGAATTGCCAAAAGTGAAAAATATTTGTATTTGCAGCAATGCAATGGTGTAGTTTCTGTTAAGAGTGTAATTTTTTTTTGCATGATTTAAAGAAATTTTAGTGAAGGGTTTTAGCAAAAAGCAAAGATCTGTGATTCTGTGACATGGTGGAAGATGGATCCTGGTACATTAACTGAGTGTAAATCAATGGCCAAAATCTACAATGTGACATTTTAAGATAAATAAATAAAATTGAAAAGTAACAAATGAGAGAACCCTGGTCAGTGATGATATGACAGTTTGTTTTCCAGTAATTAGTCTGATATGTTGAAAACACTCTCTGTGTAACCTGATAGAATGCTGGTTTGAACAGAATTTAAATGGTTTTGGTGCTTTTCAGAACAATTAAAAAGCCTGCATTGGCAGAATATGGAGGAAGTATCAATTTGCTGGTGTTTCTTGGTGCTGTTTACAAAAAAAAAAGGAAGTTTCTATAATTTGTTGCTGGAATTTGACCAACATTTCAATGGTTTTGAAAAGGAAATGGTAAAGAACTGAACAATAAATCTCTACCCCTCCCATGCTTCACTGCATAAAACGGGGACTTTGCTTTTCTATCCAGACTAGAATTATGTAATTGTTTTCTGGAAGAGGGATCCTCACCAATGGAAAAATATCCATGGATTTGGGGCTTGTTAGAAAGGAGTTTAATGCCTCAGTTTGGAACTCCAATGCACTTCTGGATGTTCCCATTTTCTGCCAGCACCACTTTCTCTGCATAAAATACTTCTGCATGTGCAGTTTTAACCTACTGAAAATATCTGTATGTTCAGCCTGTAGATCTTCCCAATACTCTTCTATAAAATCAGTAATTTATTTCCCCTCTATGTGGTTTGATCAAAGATTATCCTTGACGCCGGTTTCCAGGATCTTCTGAGCAGTTAGAAATACTCGGAACTGTCTGGCTAATATTGCAATTAATTTGTAGTATTTTAGTAAAGCTTTAATTTATGCAACAAAATTAGATTTTATTTTTTTTCTCTTGAACTCTTCAGAGCTTTTGGGAGATTCTGGCCAAGTTATGTGCTTGATGACTCTCACTCTGCTGGTAGCAGAGCCTGTCCTTGGAGAAGTGCACTCTGGCTTTCTGCTCATAAAACTCAACCTAGTCCAGAATTAACCCAACCCCAGACTGAAATTACCAGTTTTCCCAATTTTTGTGGACAAACATTCCTGAGCATTCCATAAGCAAAGCTCAGAGCTGTTCCCTGCTAATGAACTTTGTTGTCCCTGCTGGCATGAGGAGGGTCTGTGGTTTTGTCAATTATTACAGTAATTGAACTAAATCCCCAATTATTCAACAAAATCTTGTAGCTAAATTTACGTCTTAGTTGGAAAAAGAAAGTTCTAAGAACATTTCCAACAGAAGCTTTTAATCTATCCAACAGTTGTGTTTAAGCCTGGCCTGGTTCCAGGCCTAAGGAAGCTTGTTAACTTGCTTGAATTTTGTATTTTCTAAGAACAGACTCTGTCATAAACATTCACTGCTCTTCACATCAAGAGATGTCAGCAGACCCGCCACTCCCAAACTGAATGTTTTTGGACGTTGTTGAACTCCTGAGAGCAATCAAGAGTGTTTCATATCTCAGGAAAAACTCAGAAACTCCCTGTGCTGTTGATTGTTTCAGGTCTAGAGTGTTTCAAAGATCTTTGAGGACATTATAGCACTTGGATCTTGTCTCTTAGAGCTGTTTGGGCAGAGGAAAACACCTTTACAGGGTTCTGGGGGATTTCTTTCAGTAGACATTTGGAAAATTGAAAAATTGTAGGAACCTCATTTGTTGCTGGTGAGTCACCAGTGTCTTAGAGCCTGGAGGGACTGTAATTGTGAGAAAATACCTGTATTTGCTGGGTGACTCAATGGTGCCCAACTGGAGCTGTGGCTTCTCAGCTCCTCTCTGGTTTTCTGGACAGTAGGAATTACAACTCTGTTTTTCTGCATGTTAGGAAATGATGTCCAATGGAGACATTACCAAAGGTGTGAGTCCCTGGCACCTGATGTTAGGGAAAACCAGGATTTCTCTTGGTCTTCAGCTGTTGCTCAGAATTAATTTGGCTTGTGAGGAGTAAAAATGCAGACTCTCCTTGGACAATCATTCTCTGATCTTACCTGTTGTAGGCAATAAAATATCACATCAGTATTTTCTACTTTGCCTTTTTCTCCAAACACCTCCAATTGTGAGGAATCTCTGAGCTTTTGCTGCCACTATTTATGTCAAAACAGGATTTCTGTGCGTTCAAGTGCCACAAAAAGTCTATGAAAAATAAATGTTGCTATTTTCTAGAATATTTTACTGTCAATGCTCAAATCTCTTCCTTGATAAAGGGCATTAGATGAGTTTTCTTCTAATAATTCCAAAGCACAGGTCAGTTTCATTTAAAGTTTGCCATTAAAATTATTTGAAAGAGAGATGGACACAAGAAGGATGCCCTTCATTAAGTTTTTCCTTCTGGATAATGAATTAAGGTGTGAATGCAATATTTTTTTGCAGATATAATTAAAGTATCTGTTTTGGCTTCACAATTATATACTGCAAAAAAAGCTTGGGGGGAAAACACATTTTTCACCCAGAAGAATTTACTCTTATTAAATGTCATGAAGTGGGACTTCTTCTATCATTTGAATTCCAAGTGTACTTTTATTTTTTTCTGTAACTATAATGTGAAAAAAATGACATTTTTCTCTGACATTCTTCCATTTCTTTTTTTCCGTGTCTTCCCACTTCTTTCCATTTGGACCAAGGGTTGGACTCGATGATCTCGGAGGTCTTTTCCAACCCAATCGATTCTATGATTCTATGATTCTATGATTTATTTTATTCCCCCCAAATTTACAAATATAAATGTAGAAAGTAAATGCTGGTGGGGAGGATACAGGTTATTTAGCAAAGAAATAAGATGGGAACAAGGCAAAGTGGGGGAAGTTTCCTGTTCTTGATGTAATGATCATAAATCTAGATTTACTGACATTATTTGTAACTCTTATTTATGTTGATTACTTTTTAAAAGTGGTGAGACTGTGTATGAGACTCAACAGATGAAGGTTTCCAAGCAGCAGCATAAAACCTGTATAAAAAGGACATGGTGATTTGGTTTTAAAACAATATAAAGTGAATTAGACCAGATTCGTCCTTGGCAGAATAAATCTCAAATAATAGTGGGCGTTTTGCAGAGGTTAAATTTGCGAATTGGAGGTATTTAAACCTGTAGAATTACAATTCTTATGCCCTTCTGTAGCTTAGACTTTATTCCAAACTGACAAAATAAACAGAATAATACAGAAATTCCAGAAAGATATTCAGAGATCAAACATATCCCAATGCATTACCTTCCTCCAGATGGGAAATTTGCTGGATAAAAGTGATTATTATTTCCATTAACCTGATAATCGCGTGGTAAAAAGCTTTGTTGTGACTTACAAACGTCAGTGCCATAACATTTCTATTCCTCACATCCTTCTCACTCCCCAAATCCCATTTTAGGAAGTAAATTTGCAAAAATCACAAGTTGTCTGAAGTGTGTTGAAGTCAGTGGAACAGGGAATTTATCTCGGCTCAGAACATGTCCAGGGAATCTAAATCCGGGGGAAAGCTTCGCTTTCTCCTGCTATTTTTTGAACTGCTGTTCCACTTTCTCCCAAGTTTGTGATCAGGATGGAAACTGTTTGGCACACTTTGACTTTACAAATGTGTGCATCGTTCCTGGTGACCTGTTTTCCTCAAATAGCAGCTCTGGCTGAGTTTAATAACTCCTACTCCAGGAGGCTTTACTACCTTGGCACGACGTTATTAAAATATTGGCAATATTTTAATAAGTGACTACTACTATGAATTGTCCCTTTAGGCTTTTTAAAATAAATATATTTGCTGCTCAGAGAAGAGGCTGAAAGATGTGTTATATTGCTTTCCTATTGTAAAAATGCTTTTCCAACTTATATAAGGTTGTCTGAAAAATTGCCTTGATTATTCTTCATGGAATCGCAGATTGGTTTGGGTTGGAAGGGACCTTAAAGCTCATCTTGCTCAGAGCAACCTGGTCTGGTGGAAGGTGTGCCTGCCCATGGCAGGGGGTGGAACAAGATGAACTTTGAGGTCCCTTCCAACCCAAACCGGTCTGAGATTCTGGGATTCTATGATTTCTTTTTCAGAAGAGTTTAGATCTGATCAGTGGCACTAAATTTCAGTTAACGGCACAAAGGAGTGGGAGGGGAGAACATTTATAACCATGGAGAATCATCATAGCCCACCTTCCACTCATTTTGTTCTTAATTATCACAGAACCTTGAGCTCCTCCCAGAATGACCGGGAGCTAAAAACACAAAGAGTTCCTTCTGCCTGTTACTAATGAGATTGGATTTGCTTTTGCTTAGACTCCATGCTCTGCTTTCTCGGGAATGTTTGGTTTATGGTGTGCAAGAAAATGGCTTGTTATACTCAAAACACCTTAAGTTAAGAGTATAATTTCCATTGTATTTGAGTAAACCCAAATCTACAGAGTAAAAGCACCTTCACACAATTCCAGCTGCAGGAGGAGTCAATAGAGAGAAGGTGGCTGAGGGGAGCCATTTGGAACAGGGTGGGTTTTACCTACATGGCCATCAGAGACCTTCTCTTTGTCCTAGCTGGTATCTGTGTTCCCTGTGTCCCTCTGTGGTGAGAGACTGAGGGGAGACTTCATTGCAGTCACAACTTGCTTGTGAGGGGCAGGCACTGATCTCTGCTCTATGGGGATCAGGGATAGGACCCCAGGGAATGGCCTGAAGTTGTATCAGGGCAGGTTTAGGTTGGATCTCAGAAAAAGGTTCTTCCCACAGAGGGTGGTTGGGCACTGAACAGGCTCCCCAGGGCAGTGGTCACAGCACCAAGGCTGCCAGAGCTCAAGGAGCGTTTGGATGATCCTCTGGGGCACCTGGGGTGACTCTTGGTCCTGTGCAGGGCTGAGGGTTGGACTGGATGATCCTTGTAGGTCCCTTCCAACTCAGCAGATTCTGTGACTCTGTGATGCTGTAAAGTTCTTGCAGTGTACCCCTCAGAAGGTCTGTAAAGTCAGCAAGCGGAGAGCCCTAAACCAGTGATCGGTTCCGTGGGGTACAACAGGTCACCTTGGTCTGCCCTTTCCCTTGAGCCATGAAAAATTCCCTGTACTGGAAGGCTTTTATTGATGTCATCAGGAAAGAAAAACAATCATGCAAAACTTGATGACTCTCAACTGCCTTTATTCTTCCACATCCAAACCCTGCTGGATGATTGCTTCTGAAAAACTGAGTGTTACGTGCGCCTGAATAAATGCCAGTGATCATTAGTTCTTCATCACAATTGCATTTTCCTACTCAGTGAGTTCTTTTATGAACCAGTAATCTTTGCTTTTCCTATTGAAATACATGTGTAGATTATATTCACTAGTTATTTTCAGTATTTATGCTTTGTAGCCGTATTTTAGACCTTTTCCATGTTTGTCCCATTTCAGTCCCATTAAAGCTCACAAGCTCCATTTTGACATTCCTTCCTGGCGTTGAGTTGTGAAACAAATCTTGCCCATATCTGTGATATTTCCTAATTCAACATCATCCCCCTGCCTGCCTGGAACAGGTCTCCGATCAAAAGATCACACTGTGGCCCTGCAGTTTGGTTTTTCCCTTCTCAAGCTACGTGTCCGATAGGAGTCATGGAATCCTTGTTGATGGTGTGGTAGAGCAATTCTCCTGGAGAGCCTGTCCGTGGAGATCTTCCCCATCTTGTAATCTGAACTACTCCTGGAGAAGAAGAAATCAACCATCTTCTGCCTAGAACTACACACAGATATTTCTGCTCTGTCATTCCGAGGTGCTCTTTGCTCTCTCCGACCACTCCCATCCCACTTCCTCAATTAAGATGCAGATAGTTACTGAGTCAGGACATTTTTCATCTCAGGTTCCTCCTTACCTTTTCTAACACATCCCTATTTATCTGTCTGGCTTTTCCTTTAGAAATAAGCCTGGGTTTGATGTGTGTTCACGCTGCCTTCAGGCCGTGTTTCAGCAGAAAGAAGAATCAAAAGGACTGTGAAATAAGGAACCTGTGTTGAGAGGAGAATTCTTTAACTCTTGTTTTTTGGCTTGGCTGTTTCTGTCAACTTTTAATCATCAGATCTTGCTTAACACCATTTCAGCTTGGCTCATCCCTGTTAATTATTCAGCACCTTAAGTTAGATCTTCATCCTGGTCTCTGGCAAAGAAAGTGGGAAAAAAGGGCTAAAACTGCATTTTCGGTCTCTCTTTATGTTTGTTCATTTCATGTGAAAGGAGCCCATAAAAGCATAAAGCATGTGCGGAATTCCTTAGAAATATGAATCATATATTGTATATCCTGATGAAACATTGATTATTTTTGGTCAGCTTTTAGTATGGAAACCTTGGGCTACTTTTTCTCAGTCTTCAGGATGGTGGGGACACAGATACCAAGTCCTGTAAAATGACCCAAGTCATTTTGTATTGATTTAATAACCTGGTGGAGTCCCCATCCCTGGAAGGGTTCAAAACATGGGTGGATGTGGCCCTTGAGGACACGGTTAGTGATGAACATGGTGGTGGGGCAGCTTGAGGGTTGGACTTGATGATCTTACAGGTCTTTTCCAGCCTTTCATGATTTTATTACTTTAGATATTTTCTCTCTTGGGTATTTCAGTTGTGTAAGTTCTTGTATCCTCAAAATCAGCTTTTAAATTCACTCTGTTATTTTGAAGGCTGGATAATAGATTCAGTGCTTCATGACAGATTAATTTATACCCCTGGTCCTTAACTTTATATCATACTTGCTTTATATTCTATAAGTTATATAAATTATCTTGAGATTCACTGAAAACTGAGGGGTTTTTTTTAAGCTGTTGCATGATGTATAAACAGCTCTTTGTGCTTGGATCATGTGATGCTTTAGCCCTGGTTAAGATTTAACTCCTCTGCAACAGGTAAATTATTAAATATTAATTTTACAAAGTACTTCCAAACCAACTAATTGATGAATTTAAAGTTACATTGCAAAGTTTAAAATACTAAAACTATGAGGCTCCTCTGTTCCAACAATTTGGGAATAAAGGTTTTTGTGGACAACAAAAATGTGAGAAAATATTATTTGAGATGAGCACAGCAGCTAATCCAGCACTGGCAATGGATTTGCCTCATTTACTTTTTATTTCTTCAGAAAATAATGTCACAAATTCTAATGGAAAAGGAATTCTGTGAGTTGCTGCCCAAAGAAATAATGTGTGTGACCCTTAGAACCTCCTCAGTCCCAGCTCTGTAGCAGAAGCTCCTGTTTGATGTTGCCTATTCCATTGTATAAATGACATTTTTTTTGTGGAAATCAAATCATGTCTCTGACTTGTGAAGTTTTACCTATTGGAAGTCCTTTGGTTATTTATGAATACTTTTCTTCACACGTGGGAATAACTTGGATGTGATCAGAAGTTTGTGGTTGAAGGTTTCATGCAATCACCATCTCCTGTCTGTCAGGAGTAAACAGGATTTTGAGGAGAATCCCATGATTCCATTAAAATAAGTCCTTTGTTTTGCCAGAAAGTCTAAACCGAGGCATTTTCCTGGATATTTAATGTGTTTAAAATGTGTAAATAAGTATTTTCTAAATAAGGCAGCAAAACCAAACATGCAAGAAAGTTAAATTAGGCAATTTAGGTGATTACCAGGAATAATACCCCTGAATTGTATCATGGGAGTTATAATTTATGGTTTAGAACTGTTGTGAGCAATGTTAATTTTTCACTAAGTGTTCTTAGTTTCTATGCTGGTTTTTCATGCTTTTGTAGTTTTTTAGCACGTTCCATTATTGTGTTTAAAAATAATTTAAATATTCACCTTATTCTGAACCTAATGAGACTTCCATCCTAAGAGCCAGAAATCAGATCTTCTCTGTGTAAGTCCTGAGTGGAGCTACTTATGAATGGAAAAATAGCTCCAAATGTGATACCAGTAAAGATTTATGGGAAATCTTTGGTCAATTTTATCAGCACATTAATTCCATTCCATTACATCATTTAAATCATGAATATTTAACTGAGCATTACTCATAATTGCTCCTTTCCTTATCCACCTTTATAAAATGACCCCACATAAAAAAGACAATGAAGCTTTCCCTAAGAAAAATAAAAGTAATTACATGGAAGAGCTAAAAATAGCAGCAGCTGATGGAAAATCTCAGCTAATATTCCACTGGGGACCTTGGCAGTGCTTCATCTTTTGATGGAACCCCAATGAATGGAAATTAATCTGCCTCCACACCAATGTTAGTTTATGCATTGATCAAATAAGTTGGGAAATACATTGGAAAAGAGCGGGAGAAGAAAAAGAAAAATTAACCCATCAGTGAACTGAGTGTGGAACAGGGCAAGTATCAGCATTAAGCAGCAAATTTATCAGGAATTAATGTGTGTCAGGGTGGCTGTTGGGGCAGGAAGATGAAATGGTGCTGAAATAAAACTGGACCTGTTTCTGGATGTTTCCAAACCACCCAATGATCAGCAAAAATTCCGTATTTGTTGTGTTTCGAAGACTCACTTCCCTCTCCTCCTGCAGACTGGCCTTTCTAGTTCGGTGGAGTTTATTTCCCTGTTGTAACATACTAAAAATGAAGTTGCCTTGCCATAAATATGCAGCAGAGCTCCTGTGCAGCCACAGCACAGCCTCATTTTGCCATCATTTAGATGCTAAAACTGGGCTCTGGTTTCCAGTCCCAGCATTTTTGATCATCATTTTTACCTCTGGTGCAAATTGCAGAGATGAAATGGTTGATATTTTAGAGCGCAGCAGTTAAGACTATGCTAATTTTTTGATTATGATTTGATTACCTTAGAAGGCCCCTGAACTACCTCTTGCAGTTAATGCTAAATTACTTAATTATTTTTATCCTCTTTTTTTACCAAACCTAGTGTGATATTTAGACCACTTTGGTCCACCAGGGCTTAAAAGAGAAATTCTGCTCTAGTGGTAAAACCCTGTCCCAGTTTTGTTCATGGAAACAAAGGCAGTGATTGATATATTTACTTTGAACTCCATTAAATTTGAACCTCAGAGCAGTGGAGGGCCTAGCTCAGGCCATGAAGAGCCAAAACACTCTCTAATTATAAAAAAGTTGATCACAAATGTATAAATCTGAATCAAAAAGCCACTTTTTATATTGTATTTCATTTCAATTACTTATAAACTTAACAAGGGTCATTTTCCTTGAGAAACTATACAAAATTCTACCAAGATTCTGTGTATTTTTACACTGAAACAACTGTTGCTTTTTAGTTCAAGGATGGAATATATTGTTCAAATTTACATCATCAGCATCAAACTGGTGTAATTCTTTTTACCAGAACAGTATCATTGCAGCTTTATCTTCATCCAAGCAAAATTTGACTGACATTTTGCAAGTTAAAATCTCATTTTAGATATTTCCTAATCTCTTACAGGTCAATGCACAAACTGACTCAGCTGGAGAGACTTGATCTGGGCAATAATGAATTCTCTGAACTGGTAAGAAACACAGCATTTTTGAACAGAAAACCTGCGAGGTTTGGATGCTCTGTTGGTGGGGCATTGAACTTTTAGTGGAAAGGCTTTGCTGGATTGTGGCCACAGGCGAGGGACACGTGTCCTTGTAGAATAGAAGGTTCCTGAGGTGAATGTTGATGTCAGAATATGCTTCATCTCCATCAGGCTTCTGCAGTTCAGGTCAAGGTCACAGAGGATTCTCCCTCTGAGCAGATTGTTACTCCTGGGATACTTCACTAGTCATGAATTGAGGATCTCAACAATTTTTTGCATCAATTATGTATTAATTTCTTAATAGCTATCATTATATCTTATATAATTGATATCTTACATCAAACATTAGAAATAGCTGTTACTAATTATTAGAAATTGCTATTAGCAATTTTTAGAGAAGCTGTGTCTGCCCCATCCCTGGAAATGTCCATGGCCAGATTGGACAGGGCTTGGAGCAACCTGGGATAGTGGAAGGTGTCCCTGCCCATGTCAGGGGGTGGAACAGGATGATCATTAAGGTCCCTCTCTGCCCAAACCACTCTGTAGTTCTGTGATCTCACCCTCGCAGGAATGCCATAGGAAAAGTGGTACTAATTTAAATCAAACCTGTGAACAAAAGGATAAAAAGGCCCTGTTTTCATGGATTCTGAAAATCTGATTTGGATTTCAATAGAAACTTCCTTTTTTTGAGAGAAAAATGTTCCCTGGAACTGTGGTGGTGTGGGAGAGGTTAATTTCTTTGACATCCTGGGACTGTTTTGCCCTGGAAGAACCTGTGCAGCCAAACTGGAGCCGCAGGCACAGGGTTAACTTCAAAACTGAAGTAATTCTGTTCATTCATTTTGCTGGAAACAAGATGACACAAATCATGGGGTTCCTGGAATAGAAACTGTCACTTCCTAAAGAGCAGCTGTATCCAGGTGACTTCATGTAATCAAGGGAGGGAAGAGGCAGCTCATGTCCTGGGGCTCTGGGAGCTGTAAATCCCAAGGAATGGGACATAGGTTTGACGTCTGAGGGGGTTTTAGACCCTTTTTTTGACATTTGAAGGGTCAAAAACTGGCACCAGGCAGATGATGAGCAGCAATGACAGCTGGAAAGGAAACAGGAAAAGGTAGGGAGAAAAGGAAAATGTAAGAGGATAAAATGTAATATATTTTTAATTGAAGATTAATCTCAGTCTTTAATTCAGACTTGATCCTGGGAAGCATTTCTGTACCAAGAGGGTGGTCAGAGCCTGAAACAGGATTCCTGGAGAGAGGGGGTTGATGTCCCAAGCCTGGCAGGGATTAAGGGGCATTTGGGGAATTCTATTATTAAAGTTTTGGTCAGACTGAATTGGTCAGGAGTGGATGGTCATTCCAGCTGATTTTATTAAGACCCTTCCAATTCATTCCTATTCACACTCTTCTCTACTCTATTCCAATTGCGGCAATCTATGTGGAAAATGAAAATGTTCTTCAAAAAGACATCAACTGAAGCATTTCTAACAGAGACAAATAAGTTTTTAATATCAAAACATCTCATCTGGGTCCTGGTGAACCATAAAGTGCCATAATCCAGGGTACACCATAAATTCCATAATAATGGTAAATTATAATCCACGCTCAAGGAATTTCACCTCAAACTGTGCTATGTCCAGCACAGGAATAGGCTGTTCCCTCTGAGAAAGGTGTCTGTTAATGAGAGGAGTTTAAAAGCAAATTAAAGTTGAGAGGGAAAATTATGATTATCCATAATGACCTAAGTCAGTGAACACTCTGGAGGAATAAAGAAACATTAATCAGCACAGGAACAAATAGTATAAAATAACCATTAATCAATTTAGCCTGGAAATGAGAAATGGATTTAATCATAGAAGGACAACAGAATTTCAATAGAATTAGCAGAGGCAAAATAAATAATCTTTAAATTGTTAACTAATAGTTTTTTAATGGAAACACATCGTGTGGCAATGTGGAAAACTGAGCGATTGAGCTCCGCTGCTGAGCAGGTTTATTGTTACCTGATGAGGCATCAGGCACTTCTCCTGCCTGGAAAAGTGAAAAATCACATTTCTCTTGGGAGTGACAACATTGCAAAACACTCAGACCACATGGGATAATTGGAGATCTCTCTTAAGGTCTAGTGGTGCTGGGCAGAGGTATTTGTTCTGGTTGTGTTGGGATAATTCCAGGGCAGTTGTACCACAGGCCTTTAAAATGCTTGAACCTGGTTTAGTCAGGACCAAATGGAATATTTAGTACCAGTTTCTGGTCTTAAAAATATCTCTACACCTTGATAAAGGAAAGCAAGTTGGAAGTCCTGGTTTGCTGTGGAAAGTGTTTCATCAGAAAGGAAAACGCTGCTTAGGCTGAAAGCTGGGAGTATTTGGCACCTGATAATTCCTGGTTTTCCCAGCTCTAAGGAGTCAGAAATGATCTGGGGAATTGCCTATTTCAGCTTCTCTCATTAAGATCTTGTAGTTTTGAAAAGAGTAAAAAAGATTAAATTTAATATTGCGATTTTAAGGCACACCATGATTGTGACTCCTGAGTGTGACAACTGCAGACATCAACTCTCCTAGCAAGTTCTCCTTTGGATTCAGTTCTTTTCCAAAGCATTCTTGTATTTTACGAGTTTTGCAAAAGAGCACCGGTGGTTAAATTAAATGAGTGAGCTGTTCCTGTCATTAAATATCTGAAAGGCTGATGTGGGTTATAAAAAACAAAGGAAAGTGAAGAGGGAATCTTTTTTTTTTACACCAAAAATTGATTTATATTTAACTGGAAAACCACTGCTATAGGTAACTGTCCGTAATTATATATTTTTTTCTCAGCCTGAGGTTCTCGAACAAATTCAGAATCTAAAGGAACTGTGGATGGACAATAATTCTTTGCAAGTGCTTCCTGGGGTATGGACATTTATTCTTTGTAATTGAATTATCGTGTTATGTAGTGACCTATTTACCTGGCAGTAAATGAGCATTTTTTTGCATGAGGGCACAGTCCTTCTGCACAGTCATTAATTATAATCCAGAAATAAAAGTTACATGATAATGTCTAAATATTCAACACAGAAAATCTTCATCTCTTTGGTGGGGCTGCAAATGAGATGGGAATTTTGAGTGAATATCCCTTCAATCCATGTCCAAATGGAGAAATAACACAACTATATCACCAGGAACTCAGTTTTTCAGCAGATTTCGTGAATCTGGAGCACATTAATTAGCAATAAAAGTTAAGTGATAATGTCTAGATGTTCGACATGGACAAGCTTCACTTCCTTGGTGGAGCTTCCATCAGATGAAAATTTTGAGTGAATATCCCTTGGATCTGTGTCCAGATGGAGAAATAATACAACTGTATGGTCAGGAACTCAAATATGCATCAGATTTAATGAATCTGGAGCACACTAATTGGTTTGGGGTGTTTGGTGCAGCTCCTGAAGAGGAGGCTGAGACCACCTTGGTCCTGCCTTGTAAAGGTGCTGAGATAATTGAACAGAACCTGTATCACTCTTGTTTGCCTCTAATTAACTTAGCAACTGGTGTGTGTCTGTCCAAGTAACTCTTTCTCACGTGCTATTAAGTCTATAGGGAAGTTAAAACAGCTCGTGTACCTGGATGTGTCCAAAAACAGGATAGAAACTGTGGATTTGGACATCTCGGGATGTGAAGGGCTTGAGGATCTCCTGTTGTCATCCAACATGCTGCAGCAGCTGCCAGATTCCATTGGTGAGAAAAGCTCAGGGATTCTTGTAAACTTTTCCACCTGAAAATTTAATTTATATGTATTTTTTTGGTAATTATAAGACTTTATAATCGTGGCCCAAGAACTGACATTAAATCCTAAAGGAGGCACAAACATCTGTGTGTGGACAATCCCTAAAGACCATTTGGTAAAGTCAGGAACAAAAATCCCTGACTAGAAAGTATTGATTTTTCTAGTTTGCTATTTTAAGGAAAATAAGTGAAGAAGGCTACAAGTGATCTAAATTTCAAAGTATGAGAGTGATGGGGGGAAATTGCTGCTCTGAGTTACAGCAGTAAAAAGGAAATAGTTCAAACTATTAATTATCTTTTTTTGACTATGTTTCATGCATAGAACTTCAGATTTTTTTAGGATATATAGAAATTCTGGAAGCCAAGTGCTTGTAGGCACATCTGGATCTCTCATTTCAGTGTTGATCCCTCATATTTTCTTTTCAACTTCCCTTTGAACTGTTAAACAGGACTGGCATTTGATTAATTAATAAAGAAAAAATCATTAATAAAGAAAATTATCTATTAAGACATTAATAGATAATTAGAAATCTACTCTTCCTGCATAGGTAAGATAGTATTATTTTTATTGCTTATATTTTTATAAAGATATTATTGTTTTATTAATATTTATATTATTATCTATTTTTACATTATTTTTCAAGGCCACAGAAATACACTTAATATTTCTCTTGCAATTCAGCTTAACATTTAATCAGGACTTTATTTTGATTAAAAGAACATGTCCTATACACAGATATTCTCTAAAATCCAGACCTGAGTTATTCAGTGTTAGAAATCGTTAGGGTTTTAGCACATGGGAGATTATAGAAAATATTAATGTCAAATATTTTTCTACTACTTTTTTCCCACCTGCTCTCTAGGGCTGTTGAAGAGGCTGACAACTCTGAAAGTAGATGACAACCAGCTCACAATTCTGCCCAATGCCATTGGAAAGTGCGTATGAGATTAATGTGATTTTCAACGTTAAGTAAAATGTGTTTTCTCTTCTGCTTTTTTCCCTTCTGTTTTTGTTTTAAATATAAAATAAGACAAAGATATCCTGAATTATAAAATAATTCAAATTTTATAAATAAATTTGCAAATAATTTTAAAATGCCTCCTAACACCCAGTTTAAAACATTGAAATTTGGAGTACCACTATTACTTCTGTGGGTTTATACTGGTGTGAGGGATAAAAAGGCAAAATATATTATATTTTCCAAGAAAAAGGCTACTTTTCTGTGTGAATCACTCGCAATTTAGATGATTAGAGCAGAAAAAGTAGAAGAAATAGGAGTATTTGGGGGAAATACGTCTGTTCCCATGGCAACAGCCTGAGGCTGGTGTGGGAAGGAGACGCTGCAACCCTTGTTCATGTGGAGATTTCTTAAAATATTCCAGTGGTCCCAATGGAACAGCCATGAAAATTTCATGGGGATGGGGCAGGATCGAAGTATTTCCTGCAGCTGGGGCAGGATCCTGTTGTTAATTGATTGTGAGAAGCACTAGTGGTTCCCTTTAGCTCTCGTGGGGTCAGCTAGGACACGGATCCCTGGCTTATCCTGCTGAGGCCCTGGAGCTCTTTACTCACCAAAATCTGCCATTTATTGTCAAATTTGGGGTGATACCACTGTGTTCCTAAGGATGGAATCAGGGGATTCTTCGTATAGGTTCCCACTGCACATTCCTTCTGGCAGAACATATCTTTAATATTGGTATTTTTATAGGGTGCCTCTTCCTCTACATATTTTGCTTCTGAAATTCTATATAAACTGATATTTGGGAAAAAAAATCAGAGTTCCTTGTCCATGGCTGCCTTCTCCAGGTGTGGCACCAGACTTTGCATCCTCCCCAGGGCACCAGTGTTGATGCAGCAGAGACGAAGTTGTGCCAGGGGAAGTTTAGGTTGGACCTCATGAGGCCAACTGTGCTACACACTCTATAGCAACCAGTTTGTAGAATCCCAGACTGGTTTGGGTTGGAGGGACCTTAAAGCTCATCCTGTCCCACCCCCTGCCATGGGCAGGGACACGTTCCACTAGCCCAGGTTGCTCCAAGCCCTGTCCAACCTGGCTATTTCAATAATAACTTAGCTGTTGTGCCATTTGGGAAAAATAAGCCAAATTTGTGAACTATTTCATCTGCAACCACTGACAGCCCAGGTTGGCTCACCCTTCTGTAGTTTTTATAATGTCTCCAGATTTATGGAATATTCATGGAGAGCATTAAAAGGTGGTGATGTGAATCACTAAAGGACAAATCTTTGCTACTCAAATCATTTTGTTGCAGTACATTCTGATGAGCAGTGAAAGCTCATAAGGCTCAAAGCTCTACTGGATGCTGCAAAAAGGTTGATCTAATGTTTGGCTTTAACAGTTTTGGGGGTCAGTTTCTAAAACCTTCTAAAACTTTTCTTTTTTGCTGGATTGCTCAAATTGAAGGAACCCCCGTTTTTTAACCTAATATCTGTTCAGTATTGTTTGTCTTGGAACCTCAATTATATTTTTAAAGACACAGCTGCTGCTCTAAGGTGGGAATGCAGAGCAGAGGCTGATCATCTGATATTATGTTATTTGAGAGCGACTGGTTGTGCTTTTTCAATGAAGTGCTCCCTCTAACAAGGACAGTGTCTCCCACATCAAAACGAACTTGGCTTTCTCTGACTCATCCCTTTGGATAGTTTTCTACTGAGTCTCTTTCTCCTAAATACTGGTGGCAGTACCTACCACAGAGCCTGTTACTGTCACACAGGGATTAACAATGTGGAGGAGGGAATGCTCCCTCCAGGGACCAATTTCTCCATGAGACGCAGAGCATTTCAACTCTGGTGCCGGTGGGGACCCACCACCCTCGTTTTTGGAACTCTTGTTCAAAGGACAAGCCTGTGGTGGCATTCAGAGTGTGGCCCTGTGCAGTAGACCCATTGTAATAAAACATTCCACACAAAATCAGTGATTCCTACTGATTAAGTTACTAAATTAGAGCCAAAGGCTGGAGATGTTCTCTGCAGGACCTGAGGGAATGCCCTGTGTGGGTGGGAAGGTGCCAGGAGGGAAGTCACGAAAGAGTGGTGCAGTGTGTTCTGTTAGAGGAGTGTTTTGTGTCTAGTCTGTGCCACATCTGTCTGTACCAGATGCTGCAAATGGCAAAGTAAACTTGTATTCCCAGCTTTTACAAGGGCGTGAAGTGGTAGAACAGGGCAGAATGACTTTCCACTGCCAGAGGGCAGGGTTAGATGGGATTAATGGGGAGAAATTCTTCCCTGTGAGGGCGGTGAGGCCCTGGCACAGATTGCCCAGAGCAGCTGTGGCTGCCCCATCCCTGGAAGTGTCAGAGACCATGTTGGATGGAGCTTGGAGCAACCTGGTCTGTGGAGGAAATCTGCTCTAAAATTTCCTCCCAGGGCTGTGTCTGTAGTTGTGTGAAGCTTTAGAACTCCCAGAGATTTTAGGTTGTTAACTGTGGTTCTCCACCCCTTGCACAGATGCTAACGAGTGTATTTACAATTCCAGTTTGTCTTTGTTAGAAGAATTTGACTGCAGCTGCAATGAATTGGAGTCCCTGCCCTCCACCATCGGGTACCTCCACAACCTGAGGACCTTGGCTGTGGATGAGAATTTCCTCCCAGAGCTGCCCAGAGAAGTGAGAGGCTTTGGAATTACAGATTGAAATGTTTTGTGGGAGCCCAAGATTTCATCCTTGCCCAGACAAATTATCTGTTAAAGCAGTTGTTTGTGGGATGATGTGGGAGACCAAACCTTTCTTATGTGCTCAGTAGAAAAACTGAGCAGTAAATTAATAAATTCCTGTTAAATTTGGAATATCCCTGTGAAGAGCAGAGTGAGTAACCCCAGGAACCCTGAGGGTGTTACTTTCTGATTAAATTCTGTATTTTCTGCTCTTTGTCACTTCCAGCAAAAACCCAATTCAGCCACCTCCTGCCATGAAAAGTGAGTGATAATAAATGTTGCCAGAGGCAGGATTCCATCACCTTTGGCTTTTTCATTCCGCAGATTGGAAGCTGTAAAAACGTTACGGTGATGTCTCTGCGCTCCAACAAGCTGGAATTTCTTCCCGATGAAATTGGGCAGATGCAGAAGTTGAGAGTGTTAAACCTGAGCGATAACAGGTACAGTTCACATCATTTCCTTAACCAATTTAAGCATTTATTAAAAAAAAATAATTAAACTCTTATTTTTAGATATTTTTAAAAAATATGTTTATATAAAATATATTTTATAAAAATGTATTTAGAATTATATTAAAAATAACGTGGTTATTATTTACTTTATTTAAAATATAAGGCAAGAATCTTGATTTTTTTTTTTCTAATCTTTATGGTTTGATCTTAGTTCCACTGATACCAAAGAAGTTGAGTGGGGCCAAGATCTGGGTCTTGGTGTGTTTTAATAGGTTAAAAACCATTTGCTTCTTTTATGTCCTGCTGTTTCCATGCAAAAATGTGATATTTGACTTATATAGGTTTGTAATATTTAATGATGAAAAAGCTGGTCTATAGGGAACCATGAAGTGCAAGCACAGGAGTTTGTTATCCTGCCTCCACTGAAATTCAAGGAATATTTTTCATTCCCTTCAGTAGAGTTTTTTTGTCAAAATCCCCAGATTCTTGTGTTCTTATGCACATGACTCTGCTTAGATGAGAAACAAAATGCTTAAACTGAGCCTTTCTTGATACCTGTGCTGCCAAAGACTGCCTGCCTTGAGCTTTATCCATGTGGGTGTGCCAAGAATATGGTAATTTTCAGCACAAGCACAGAAATCCAGGTTTGCTGGATAGTGCCACGTATGGGGAGTGAATTCCATTTTCTCTCCAGTAATTACCCTCCACACTCAGTAAAAATCAGGAGAAGGGCTTCCCACCCCTGTGTCAGATTTGCTGTCAGCAGTTTCATTGTTGAGATTACAGCTGAGCATAAAATATAAACCATAAAATGAAGTAATTTAGAACTCCTTTAATATATTTGTTTAAAATTACTTGTTTAATTCAGTTGATTCTTTTCTGGATTGCAATTGTGTGTCATAAAATCCATCATGGCTGGGCCAGAATGGAAAGTTAAACTTGAGTCTAGTTTGTGTTGTGACTGTCCAAATCCCAGAATCAGGAAATGCCTTCAGGTGGCACTAGGGGAGGTTTAGGTTGGATATTAGGGAAATTCCTCATGGAGGAGCTTGTCTGGCCCTGGCAGTGTTGGAGTCCCCATCCCTGGAGAGATTTAAAAGCTGTATGGGTGTGGCACTTGGGGACATGAGTTAGCAGTGGCCTTGGCAATGCTGGGGAATGGTTGGACTTAATGGTCTCAGAGGGCTTTTCCAACTTAAACAATTCCATGAATCTATAACTCTGTGATCAAATGGTGGGTCTCTTGATTTTGGGTTCCAGACTGCAATGCTTTCCCGGGGACAGGTGTGCCCTCCATCAGCATATTGGTGGCGGCAGTGTGTGTTTGTGCCTTTATCTGTACAGACAGAGTCTGAAACAACACTTCCAAACCACTCCAGCTGCCATTCCTGCCACAGAGGGAGGCTGGCTTCCCTTCCTGTCCCTGCATCCATGTGCCCTGTCCTGTCCTGCTGAGGTTTTGTCCAGATGTCTGTCATCCTGGATCCATAAGTGATGCAGGTGAACACAGCCCGTGTCAAATACAGGGAATTTTCAGATGGACCTTTCTGTGTCTGGTTCCTGCCCAGCAGCTGTGGTGGCACCTGGGAGGGGACATAGGTGGGCACAGGAGTGGGGAGGCAGGAGGACAACCCTAATTCTGGGCACTTGGGAGTTCAGGGTACAGGTGCCTTCCCTGGCACATGAAACCGCTCTCAGCTGGGTCACTGCCCCTTTTCCAACCTGTGATTGTGCCATGAGTCTGCGGTGAGGGACAGGAAACCAATGGGGTTTACTTGGATTTTGTTTCCCATTTTTTTTCCCAGTGACTTTTCAGCCAGGTCAGCTACTGTTTTCAGTCCCATCACTTCAGTGTGGTGAGGGACTGTGAGTGCTGAGGTGAGACAGGGAAGGGCAGCTCATGGCTGGGAGGGAGTGAGAGCAGACAGGGCTTCCCAGCTAGGCTGACCCAGCAGCTGGATCCCACCAAAACAGCTGTCCTGCCCCAGTTTCTTTTCCCCAGCTGCCCAGCTAGGACAGGATTGGGATTTCCACTGGGGAGGAAGGTAATTATGGGACCAGCATCCCAGTGATGGGATGTTCCTTGGGGTGGGATGTGGCAGCTACTGTCCTTCCCACTCCCCTTCAGGGGTGTGTAGTGGTGGTAAGCTCTTTTCTCCAGTCCTCCTGGAAAGCTGTGCAGTGAGCTGTGAGCATTGTGGAACCACTAGGAGAGTGGGGTCTGGACTGGGAGAGATGGGAACTGACTCCCCCCCATAGACATTCAACCTTTAAACTCAGCTGAATTTTCTTTAAAACTGGTTGAATTGTCTCATGTACTTTTCTGGAGTGGTTTGGGCAGTAAATCTTTCCTCCTTCCTTGCTGTCAGCTCTGGCTGAGGTTCAGCGTTGCTCTGCTGAGATGTTGTGATAATTCTTGTGCCATGGAACTTCCCACTGCAATGAAACTAAAAAGTTTTCACATTTTGGCACCAAAGAGCTTGGACAAAGTTCAGATTCCTTCTTAATGCTGGAGTTTTTAATGATTTTTTTTTTTTTTACTTTTCTCTCATCCCATTTTCATTAACATTCAGGCAATGTCTGTTCTTTCTTTGAATGAGTCCACATGTACCTGCTTAAGAGAAGGGTGTCTGGGCTCTGCTTCCTGCTGGGAGCCTTCCCATGTTCCCACAGCAGTTTTGCCCCTCTGCTCTTCTCCAGATCTCACAGGAGGTAGAGCACACCAGCTCTTTTCCTGGGTACCCCTTCAAGCTATTGGAAGGAGAGACAGAGACACACAGAAGCAGGGCAGATGGGTGATTCTGGAGCCTCCTGAGCTTCACCCTGTTGTGATGGGCTCCTGGATCCTGGGATGTGCATCAGCTGCTTCCCTCTCAACTTGTTATGGGGCCTGCTGAACCCTGAGCCCCTCTAAGAGGGATCCTTTACCCAAGCACTGCTAATGCACAAAGCTTTTGAGGAGCAGCTGTCACTCCCTGTGAGTAACAAGTAACAAGTAACAAACAAGGATGGATTGTACATATTCCATCAGAATTTGCTGGTCAGCCCTTTGTGACTTTCTCTCCTGACACCGGAGGGATTCCATGTCCATCCTGACAGTGTCCAGTTGCTCGTGCATCCTGGCACGTTATTTCCTTGCCAAGGGGACAGACTGTCCCTGTGACTGTCAGTTCATAGGATGGATCCATCACCATGGAGCTGGAGTTTTACAGAGGGAACAGCGTCCTCCACTGGTGATCTGCCCACTGCAGGTTCATCCCAGGGAGTGATACCTCGGGGCCATCTCCTTGTCCTTTGCCATATGCCAAATTTCACCTTTGGTGCCTACAATGGTGACTGTAAATGGGGCACTTGTGTATCCATTAACCTCTGACATCATTGCCTTTATCCCGGTGACTCTGGTGGGAATTGGACTACTCACATGTTTATTGAGATGCCCTTTTGCCACCAAAAATGTTCGTTCTGGCCATTTTCCTCATGGCAGGGAGGTATAGTCTGCCTTGAGGGATGTAGATACAGGAGTGTTGGTGGCTTTGCACTTCCCTTGCCAGAGTGCATGAAAGATCTGCAGTCTGCTCCTGGAATGGCCATGCACACATGGAGCCATGGATAGAGGAGCTTTCCCTCCCTTATGTTCCCTGGAGCTTGTCTGGGTGTGATAGTCAGGGACATTTTAGATCTGGTCTAAAATCCTGATTGGATGTCTTTGAGGGAGGAGGCAAACCTGACACAGACCTCTTTGCCCCCCTGGCTAACGGGAACCTCACATTTCTGTGAGGTGACACATTTTGCACACAGGAGGGTCAATGTTTGGTTCTGTGGTGTCAGCTACTACAGACTTTCACTCTGTTCTGTGTCTTCTCCTCAGCACTGTAAGATGGACCTTGCTCATCTTAACTGACCAGAAGCTGTTTTAGTTCAGGACTTCCTTCAAATATCCATGTTAGAATTCCCCTTTCACCAGAGAAATAGGCTTCAGCTTTCCTTTCCCACGCCAGTGATATCTGAACTTCTCATCTCCATAGCTGGGAGTCCTCTATCCTTTTATCTTTACAGGTCCAAACCTTTCCAACCTCCCACAGGCTCTGGAAAGTGCAGGATTCGGTTGGCTCTGATAGGCCATGATGGGTTGGACCCTGATTGCTGAGGTGGAGTCTCAGGAGGGCTGGAGTACAGCTGGCCAGCTGAGATGGCTTCACACTCTGTGGTCAGTCGGGACAGGTTTGACTCCAGACTCCTTGGGATCCATCCTTGCCTTTGCCAGGCACCACTCTAGTCCAGGAGAACCGAGAAGTTTGATGAAATGGCTGTGCAGGTGCTGCTGGTGTGAAAGCTCCAGCAGTGCTGAGCCCCTGGGAGGCTCAGGGTACACGTGGGATTCATGCAGAGAAAAGAGCTGTGTGACTTACCAGTAACCGGTGTTCTCACCATGTGTAGTCCACATACACACCTGTCTTCCATCTGCTTCTCCTCTCTCCTCAGAGTCCTTCCAGGTCTGAGCCCTGTGATTGAGAGGTAGAATTGTTAGAATGTACATTTGGGCTACACTTCTCAAAGACATCGGTTACTGGTAAGTAACCTTTCTTTTAGTTCTAGATTGTTCTTGAAAGAGCTGAAAGAACCCTCCCCTTTCTGTGTGTGCACTGCTTCTGTCCTGGGCTCAGAATTCACCCACACGAGTTAGAAAAGCTCCTTAGATTAAACAATCCATTTGTTTTATGATAAGACAGCAATGAAAACTAAGTTTCAGGTAGGTCAGGCTCTCCTTACTTTCTCCTGTGCCGTTAATTCTGGGTTTAAATGTGTGCACACATGGAAAGCTGCTCTAATCTCCAGAGGCATTTAACTGCAGTTTTAACTGCGTGTGCAAACATTCATTTTTATATTTCACTTTTAGAGAAAACCGATTTCTAGTCTAATACATCCTTATTAAAACAATTCCAATGCCTTACGGACATGCTGAGGTCCAAAAAAGCCCCAGTGTTAATGGGAATGAGCTTGTGGCAAAAAGACATCCAAATTCCATAAGGGAGACAATTCCAAAGCTTTGCTGCATGGAGACAATGGTACAAATGCTTGTGAGGGGCTCATCTCCCAGAAATACAGATTTTTTGTGTGAAGGAGGCTGTAGGAATGTTGCTGGTACAGGGACAGAGGGTTTTCCCACTGATGCAGCACCTGGAAATGGCTTACCTGGTTTTACTGAGCTTGGAGCCAATATGTCTGTGAGAACCTTTGTTTCCCCAGAGTGGGGTTGTCTGACTCTCAGAAAAGGGCTTCTCCTCTTTTCTTTTTGCCAAATCACATTTAGGTTTAGTCTTTGTCGAAGGTCCTTTGGTCAATACATCCCTTCCCACTGTCCTCCAGCTCCTTAAACTCTGACCAAAAGCTGAGAGAACATCAGTCCATGGCTGGGACAGGCCATGTGTTGGTACAGAGCAGGTTTAGGTGGGATATTGGGAAGGAATCCTTCCCTGTGAGGGTGGTGGGGAGGCCCTAGCAGAGGTTGCCCAGAGAAACTGTGGCTGTCCCATCCCTGGAAGTGTCCAAGACCAGGTTGGACGGGGCTTGGAGCAACCTGGGGTAGTGGAAGGTGTCCCTGCCCATGGCAGGGGGTGAAACTGGCTCATTTTTAAGGTCCCTCCCAACCAAAACCAGTCTGGGACTACATGATGACTGAGGAGTAAAAATTCACATTCAGGATGAGTTAGTGGGAAAAACATGAATGAATTCTCTGCAAACATTATGTCATCATTTCCCATTCCCATATGCAGATCACTTTTAGGAAATATGTTTAAATATGTCTAATTAAAATGCTAATTTTTTTGCTGCTTCGTTTAATTTTGTCATTTAGGTTCCCTATGAATATTTATATTATTTTAATCCTTTGTCTGACGTTTCAACAAAAATGAATTTTCCATGATCTCAGAGCGATTCAGTTACAAAACTCCAATGTCCAATAAAAGGAGTTCTGGGAGCTACACTGAGGTCTTTCCTATAAGTCTTCCTGGGACAAAGATTTTTCTGTTTTCTGTGTTATAAGTGTAATTTTGGCTACATTTTGCCAAGGCAAAATATCAGTAACTCCTCAGTACCTTAGGGTGTGGTGCCAGCATTTTAGATTCCAAATATCTCTCTTAATATGGAATGCCCTTAATAAAATATTGTGTTTTAGTAAAAAACGAGAAAAAAAGCTATGAAATTACAGCCATTTCAGTATGATCAAGACAAACATCTTGCAGACAAATCTTTAAACAAACTATTGTGGAAATGAAGGATTCATGTTGTTCCAATATTATCATTTACAGACTGAAGAATTTACCCTTCACTTTTACTAAGCTCAAAGAACTTGCAGCTTTGTGGCTTTCTGACAACCAGGTAATGCCTTTCAGTATTTATATTTTCCTTATTTAAGGGGTCATTGGAAGGGCTGTAAATGAAACCTGTCATTTAATCCATGGTTGTATCAAAATTTCTCCAGCCCAACTTTATACTTTCATATCAAGGTGTAGATCCTGCTGGCTGTCCTTTAGTAACTTGGAAAAAACACCTTTGTAGGATTTATTTCACCTGGATAAGCTTCTCTGTCCTTACAAAAGTAGTAAATAAAGGGCAAAAGTAGCAAGAGAATAGTTATTAATAATAAATTTAGTATATAAGGCTTTGCTACCAGCCTTGTTAGTGGTTTGTCCCATCATTTGCTCCATCTACACCTCTATTTTTGTCTTCCTTTTCCCTTTTCCTGTCTATTCTTCCCTTTCTGCATATTTTAATTTTCACTGTACTCAGGGGCCGTCTAAACATGTCAAAGATGCACAAGAACTCTGAGTCTTGGTTTGGAAAAAACTCATTTATGTTCCTCTTAAATCTGAGTGTGCCTTTCTTTGTCTGAGGGCTTTGGTTTTAACTAGAGATTCTTTGGGGTTCTATTTTAAAGCAAATTATGTAACATGAACTCTGAGAAATGCAACAGTTCAACCAGCAGCTGAGCACTAAAATAAGTCTTAAATGTACATTTGCTTTTATAACTGAGCCAAAAATGGGAAAGCTGAAGGGAGGGGTAATAGAAAATGATGATTAAATTTTAATGTGTTAAATTGGGATTCTTGGGTTTTTTTGCTCTAATTTCCATTTAAAAAAATTAACATTCCGTGGCTGCGCAGCCCAGGCACAGAACAGCCACTTCCTTTTAAATATGCGAGGTTTTCCAGCATTTGGCTTTTCTTTGGTGTAGGATGGATTAGTTTCCATTCTGTGGACTATTGCAGTCACTCCTGGTGTCACATTAGAATAAATCAATAATAAAATCTCATCAATTAACGTGAAGCATAACATCTGAACATTCAGAGTGGCTCCATGTAAGTTCTCCAGTATCTTACAGCAGGTTTACTCTCAGAACAGGCAACTACTCTGAATTTACTCCTCCATCATTAATTAACTCCTCGTTAGCTCTGACTTAAACTAGATCACAGCCCTAGTGGGGGTGTTTTACATAAAATGTTAAAAAAAATATATACAAAATCATCTGAGGAGATTTAAATAATATTTTAAATTTAAAATTAACAGTACTCTGATTAATAGCTATTTAACAGTCCATTTAAATCTTCTTGGAAATTCTTGATTTTTCTTTTCAATATTTTTCCCAACTGGGAATTTTTCTCTGACTCCTGTAACTGGGGACATTGAGTTCTGCTGTGGATTAACCATGCAGTGACAGGTCTGTGCTCCGACTTTTTTCCTTCCTCAGCCCTGAGCACTCGCAGTATGCCTGATGTTTTGCCCATCCTGGTGGGAATTGCAGGAATTGCAGAAGGGAGGAATGGGAGGGGAGGTATTGCCACCAGCTTAGCACTTGTTTTAGTTCACAGGGAGTTTCTTTTCACACAGAATTGTAGATATTCTTGTATTCCCTATTTATCAGAAACCTCACACTGAGGTAACTGCTCTGGTTTTCCTCTCCAGTCCAAGGCTCTCATCCCGCTGCAGACAGAGGCACATCCTGAAACCAAGCAGCGAGTGCTGACCAACTACATGTTCCCCCAGCAGCCCCGCAGTGATGAAGGTAAAACACCAGCAAGGCAGGAATGGGGTTTGTTTAGAGGCTGGAGGAGATTCAGAGAGAGGAGGAAATCCAGAGAGAGGATTCCGACGTGGCTCTGTGTGTGTCTCCTCGCGCCAAGCCCATGGGACACACAGACATCCCTATTTTGGCACACACAGAGGAATCTGTCATTCTCAGGCCATCAGATTTATATTTTCTAGAGCACTTTCATTTCCAGAGTGGCTTTGTAAAAGCAGTTTGGGTCTGGATCTGAATGTGCACGGGAAGGAATTGTGGGCTCTGTTGGCCAGAGACTGGCCCCATCTGGCAGCTGGGGGTGTCCACCCACAGGGAGGGGAGTTCAGGGGTCCCAGCCTGGCTAAATTCAGGGTTTGGCTCCTTACAAAGCAACATTAAATTAGAGTTTTCATACTCCCCCCGTGCTCCAGGTGTGCCCCAAACCCTGTTGCTTCCCATCACTCTCACCACAGTTTTTATAACAACTCTGTCGTGGTTTCTCAGTTCCCACTGTCGTTGCCCCCCTCAAGTTTTCAAACAATAACCCAAAACTGTGTGATCAACAAAGAAAAGCCTTTTTAGACCCTTTCCATCCTTGGGGTGCACCAACTGCTGGTTCCTGTCTCTTTGCCCTTTCTCTGCAGATTTCCAGTCGGACAGTGACAGTTTTAACCCCACTCTGTGGGAGGAGCAGAGGCAGCAGCGCATGACTGTGGCATTTGAGTTTGAAGACAAAAAGGAAGAGGAGGAAAACCCAGGGAAAGTTAAAGTATGTTCTGTTTGGTTTATTCTGGTATTAACGTATTATGGACAGGGTCCAGTTACAGGTCTTGAATTTAATTATTTTTGTGTTCTAAATATCCAGAAACCTATTCCTGTTCAGATTCCTGCTGTGACAGGTGTATTGTCACAAAACCAGAATTAACACAGAGTGTTGGGAGACTTTGAATGATTGTCCTAGTTCTTTAGAAGGTGAGGAGGCAGCAGAGCATGAGGAAGAGTTTGACACTAAAATATATCCAAGGCCAGGTTGGACAGGGCTTGGAGCAACCTGGGCTAGTGGAAGGTGTCCCTGCCCATGGCAGTGGGTGGGATGAGATGGGATTTGTATAGATGCCCACACAGGAGCTAAAAACTCATTGCTGGAACCTTCTAAGAACTTCAAGTGAGTCCCTCCAGCCATGGGCTGCAATAGTTCATGGGGAGGTTTCAACATGTACATTTTTAGCAGTTTCACCAGACCTTTAAGGGAGAAATTTGCAGGTTAATTTAAATTCTCAACAGGCAGTAACCACCAACACTGCAGCATTTATAGCAGCATAGATTATACACAGATTTCACTTTTTATCTTTCAGAGTTAAAACTGAACTCTCAGCCAAACATATGTTAAGATAGATTTGGTAATTGGAATTGTTCAATAACTTTTTCCATTGAGAATTTTGAACTTTGAGAATTCTCTCTTCGGGGTCAGGCTGCTTTTGATGTATCATTAAACCCACAGGAATAGTACTGACAGGGAATACAGATTTCCTCTCTGATGAAAGCTCTGGATCAGTGAGGAAAATATCTGCATTCCAGTGCTCTCACCCTCCACAGCAGCCAGGAGTTCTGCTGTTTAATATTAAAACTCACAGTCATGGCAAACTCTGCTGAAATCCATGTCTAGGATTTGTCTCTCTCATCCAACTCTTCCAGTTAATTTTCCCTGACTAGTTTTTACTGAGGATTTGCTGGGACTTGGCTTTTGGCCATGTCTGTCTCAGACCTTCCCCTTAAACCATGCTCTGAGTTCTAGGAGAAACCAACTGCCTAATTAGACCAGCTCTAAATACGATTTCTTTCAACTATAACTCACCCAGGGCTTTATTGCTACTTTCCATCATCAATTTATCTTTTCTGTTGGAATTCTTTATTAACATATGACATCCCAGTCATACATTTGGACATTTTCTGTTCAAGTCATGTTAGAACCTACTCCCTGTAATGTTTATTCCCTTGTGGTTCAGAACTCTATGCCAGTATTTCATATAGTTTTATTTTCCAAACCAATCATTCTTCTGCCTCTGAAATATTCCTATTGGCAGACCATTTTCATTTGAATCCAAAATTACATTTTTCCCACCGTAGCAGTGAGCTGTTAAAACATGCTCCTTTTCTTACCTCACTTCCACAGTGAAGTAAAAGCTGCTCTGTGGTAAATAATTCCAAATACTTTACCACATTGTAAATGTGTTTCAGAGTTATCCTGACACACACAGATCCCTCTGGGAAACTTAGAAATTTAAAATGTGGGGGTTTATAGAAAATCTGTGGGTCTATCAGTCAGTTAAAGCACCATTCAGGCCTTGTGGGGGTCCTGTCTGTGGTGGTTTGAGTCTGTTCTCCTGTGTGAGAGAAGAGTAGGATGCACTCGAGTGCCAGTAGGAACATTATCCATCTCCAGGAGCAAATGGCTCCCAGGGGATCAGCTACTGCTCTCAGCTGCCATCCATAATTCAGATTAATTGAGTACATAGAAAGTAGCTAAATTAATTCTGCATTTACACCATCATTGTTTGGGGAAGTGGGATGGAATATGTCAGCACGCTCAAGCAAAGTGCATGATTAACATGCAGGAGTCTCCCAGGGTAAAAGATTGTAGGGAGCCATTCCCATCCATTATTTTATGTCACTGGAATTCTGTTATAGGTTGACATAGAGTAACTGAGCACATTTCAGTCCCAAACTCCATGCAAATATCTCTGTGTAACACCTCAAATTATCCCAAACATAAGGGATGTGCCCTGAGCCCCAGTACTGTAACAATGGGTTAGTTTGCATGCTGTTTGCATTTTGTATTTGTGCTTTAATTCTTTTTGTGAATGTTCAGGTTGAAATAAATCTAAAACGTTACCCCACTCCCTACCCGGAGGATTTAAAGAATATGGTCAAATCAGTCCAAAACCTGGTGGGCAAACCCAGCCATGGAGTGCGGCCCGAGAACTCTGCACCCGCTGCCAACAGTGACCAAGGGGTGAAAGACAAGTATGAGCACAAATGGCCCATGACACCCAAGGAGATTTCAGTGGAGGTAATGTAAAGGCTCCTTGTTCCTCTCCAGAATCCCAGGTTTGAACACAACTTCTCCAAATGATAATTCCACATCTGCTGTGACCTCACACCTGAGAGATTTTACTCTCACCTGTAAAGTTCATTCAGTTGTATACTGAGTTGCTGTTTTTCCCAATACTGCTGAATTTTTGGGTTGAAATCTACCTAGATCTGAATTTTGCTGTTGATTTAGACAATTTTAATGATATGAGACTTGCACAGGAGCAGGAGAAAGGACCGAGCTTGTTTCCACCTCAGCCTTCAGTACGTGCATTTCCCGCCTCCGATGCGTTAATGACCAACCAGTTAGTTGTGTCTGACCCTACTGTGCCATGAGGTCCTGCTCCCTCAGTTTCTGTTATTAGGAGAAACCCAATTAACCTTGTCCAAAGTTCATGAAGGCAGCAGAACTTCTCCCACTGCAGGGAGCTTTGGATCAGGTATCCCTGAATACTGACTTCCAGTGAGTTGCAGAATCCAGCTCTTAAAGTGTTTGCCTGCAGTGGATCAGCAGAAACAGGGGCAAAGTTCTATTCCAAGACAAATATAGTCATTAAGGAAGCAAAATTCCTAAATCCTACTGTTCCAAATAGCAGGAGCTTGATCTCATCTACCCATGGACACCCTGACTGTGTGCAGGCACCATTCAGAAATAAGGGAATTCTCTTCCCCGATGGTTTATAACCTTGGATAGGTCTACAGGAACATCCGCATTCCTGAAAATCTTTACAAAGCCTTAATGTTGAAAAGAAATAACTGAGGAAAAAAATTCTCACATTCTTTTTTACTCCTTTGTTGTCTAAACATTATGAGAAGCTCATTGTCCTTGAAATATCCTTGTCTCTGGCTTCTTGTGTGTGCAGGAATTGTTCTTCCTAAATTTTCCATGTCTTTAACACAAATGGGCTATTCTTACATACTCAGCTGTAGCTGCTCTGTCAGTGCTGTGTGTTTTATTTGCAGCTAAACATTTTCATTTCTTACCAAAATAACCAACAAAAGTTTTCCCTTTGAGATGCTTCAGAAGACTTCCTTCAAATCTAGGCACAGTTTCAATTAGCATTAAAATATTTCAGTTAAATATTTCGTTTAAACTAAGATAGTTAAGTTAAATCATTCATGTTTTCATCTAAATCTGAAATCATAAATTCCACCATTATTCTTTTTTGTTTATTAAGTTCTTACTGTGTAAATCTGGGCTTTAAACAACTTGGGCCAGGAGTCTTTACATGTTCTGCTTTTGTTGCTGAATACATAGAATTTATTTTGTATTATCTAGGTTTTGAACTTGAATATTCCTGACAACTTTCAGTGGGTTTGAATTATCCCTAAGCATGATCCATCAGGAATTTGATCCATAGGGCCCGACAGAGGCTTTAGGTGTTTGGTCCCATGGCTGAGGTTGGTGATGCAGCCTCCAGAAGTCAGTCCTGGTTTGTTAACATTTGTTCAATTAAATGTGAAGTTTTTTAATGAAAATCCCAGTGAGCTGAGTCCCACAGGGTCCTGTGAGCAGGCAGAGCCCAGGGATCCTACGTTAGGGAGGTGTAAGGAAGGAGTAAGTGGCAGTGACAGCATAAAATATGAGTTACTGTGGTTTTGTGTGGAGGTACAGGAGCTGTCAGTGGCACAAGTCTCACAAAAAGCATTCTGCAAAACCAGCTGAATTGCTGCAGACAGACCCCATGGTAATTCCTGAAGTGCAATTAAATAATGGGAGTGCAATTTCCTCCTTAATTGTCTCCCACAAGCAGCTGCTGCGAGTGCACCACTGTTCCCATGGATCACTGGAGAGGGTTTTTCATCTTCTGTTATTACAATAGTGAGGAAGGGGGACTTTTTCACATTTTAATTTCCCTGGTACATAGTCAAGACTAGTAACACAACTATTTCATCAGGTAAGGAAAAGAAAAGGAGTGTTCTTGTCCCTCCTCCCGACACTGACACCGGGAAGGCGTTTTGGCTCCAAGCAGGGAGTTGTAAATACATTTTTCTTTCTTTGGCTTCCTGCGGGAAGATAAAGACATGGGGGAAACTGTAGGAAAAGTGTGAATAATTTTGTGAACAATATTGGCCTGATTTCAGTTGTAACACATTAAATAAAACATAATTAAGCTCCGTTTGCTTTTCAGATAATTAGGAGACACGATCTCGAGCCTCAAGTTAAAAGACAGTTTGAAATTGCAGGTGTGTTCTCATAGAGCTAAAGACTGAAGGCAGTTTCTAATACCAAGGTAATTTAATTTCAGGTGCAATGCTCACTTCTCATCCTCAGAGACCAGATAAGGTGGTTTCTGTTCTGATCTCTTTTGGGTTTTCTTGCAATTAATTTACACATGTCTCTTCACAAACTGTTCCTAAATAATTAAAGGGAGCATCTGAAATGAGTAAGAAGCTGCATTTCAAATCCCCTGCACCGTCCTCCGCCTTCACTTACAATAAGCAAACAATGTCTTGATTAGTCAGCAATTATAACAAACCTCTTCATTTTTCTAGGTCATTTTGAAACATGTGAGTTTTGGGCAAGTAGGAGGCTGGGATAATTTTGTGTCACCTTTCCATGAGAAACAGTGAGGAATCCCACAAATGAGCAATTTGGGTCTTTACAGTTTGTATTAAGAATATTCTAAGAATATCCAACTTCTCAGGTATCCCAGAGAAGCTGTGGCTGCCCCATCCCTGGAAGTGCTCAAGGCCAGGTTGGACGGGGCTTGGAGCAACCTGGGTTAGTGGAAGATGTCCCTGCCCATGACAGGGGGTGGGACTGGATGGGCTTTAAGGTCCCTTTCAACCCAAACCATTCTGGGATTCTATGGAAGATCTCTCCAGATTATAATTTAATGTTCTTGTGTTCTCAGCCTGAATTCTTGGTGATATTTCTCTTTCTCAGTTGTTTTAGTGGTCTTTCCCATGTGTTTTCTCTTGGGAAACAGCTTACTATAGTTTTCTGTCTTCTCCCTGTATCCTTCTCCAGTTAGTCCTGAGGAATAACACAATTTGATTTATCTCTTCTCTTTCTTTTTGCAATTGCTGCTATTCACAATACTTTTTTCCTGTTAGTGACCTTTTTGTTCTTGAGCTTGTAAGAACAAGGTCCTCTTAAAGAGAGTGGAATTAAATGGAATATGATTTGAGGTTTTTACAACATCTTTCACATTCATGGCATATTCACAAATGCCAGACTGGTTCTTTCGAAAGTGCATCGATTTTTGTTGGAATAACTGGATTAGGGGCTAAAAAGAAAATAGTATAAGGTAAAGAACTTCCTAAAATCATGCATCTGAAATAAAACCCTGTGTTCATCATGGTGTCAAAAATGGAACTGGTGGTTCTTACAGCAAGGGGGGTTATAATTTACAACTTTTGGAAGGTTCATGGCATGATGTTGGGATTCCAGGTTCAAGATAAAGAAAATAAAGAATTCCCAAAGAATCCCCTGTCTGAGACAGAGAACACTCAGGAATCACCTCTGGAAGCCTCAGACAGGGAGGAGAAAGCCGAGGGCACCAAGAGTTCAGAGGTACAACCAGACCCGTGACAGGCACCGTGGGTGTCACAAGGGGAGAATTTCACACTCTGCAGTGCTGGGCACTCTTATTTCTCAAAACACCCCCCTGGTTTTGCACAAGTTTGTCACACTGCACTGGTAACTGGTTGTGCTCCGCTGGAGAAAGGCTGTTGCACTGTTGTTGAGTTGTGTGGATATCACTCTGTCACCTACGGAACACCACAGACATCCTGGGGTCTCTGCATGGGGAAGGAAAGTCTTGGCTGTATCACACTGTGTAACTATTTCCCTAAATGTTAGTCCTGAGGAGTTTAATTAAGTTGGGGATGCCTGTTTTTTGCTGGTTTGGGAAGGTCCTGCCTCCAGCAGAACACGTAGTACAGAAGGATTAAAATAACTGTTGTGTAAATATAATTATATTCTTCAAGGATAAATTGCATGGCAAAGGTTTCTACAAATCTCTGTTTCCACTGTAACTACAAAAAGTAGTTAATGGAGAGGAAACCTCTGAAAGTTTGCTCCTGATGAGTAAAAGCAAAAAAAAAAATTAAAAATATTGGAGCATTTTACATTTTAACAATGGCTCAAATCCTTATCTTCTTCCACACCTCCTTCCACACAAACATATGAACTCAGTGAGTGTGTTTGGTTTGGGTACTCCAGTTTAAATTGTTTAATTATTACATCTCTCCTTATTAACTTCACTCTCCCAACTCACTGGAGAACCTTTACCAGCAACATGTCAGGGCACAGAGACCCTCATGGTGTTCCATTACTATAAGTTCCCTCCTAAATATATTTCTCCTGTTTCTGTCCTCATTTATACTATTAATTATGGATTTTATCCTAATATCCCTTCAAAACTTCCTCTGTTTTAGTACATACTCTCCTTCTCCAGCCTCCAGCCTCTTTACAGAATGACAGCTCCTCCTCTCACGAGGATCCTGGTGGCATTGGCTGAGCTTTCCGTCTCCACCAGTTCTCTTTCCATGACATTTTCCTGAGCTGGGCACCACCCATAAAGTGGGTTTCCCAGATTGCCCATCCTTCAGGCTCCCTTTCCTCCAGTCCCTTCCTGAGGGCAGGGTACCAGTGTCATCCCTGCAGTACCTGTCACACCCCTCCCTGTCTCCCCAGGACACCCACCCCTCAGCTCTGAAGTTTCTCCCCAAAATTCCTCCTTGTGACTTCATTGCCTTCTAACTGTCCTGTGAGCCTAAATGTCCTAATTCAAAATACCTCTTTCTAAGACTACATCCCACTTCCCTTCAACATTTTTCCATTTTATATTCTGTATATATCCCTTTGAAGGTCAAGATGTGCTGAACTCTCAGTGAGAAGTTTATTAAATCTGAATAATTTTAATTTAGCCACAAACCCTTTATAGACAAAGCCATTTTATTAAATATAGCTACAGGGACAGCTGGATCTGTGGAGGGACTTGGGCCATGAATAACTGAACAAGGAACGTTTCCTCCTGAAATAACAATTGTTTACTCCCAATTTGTGTTTTTTTTCTGCTGGCAGCTTGTTTTTGTGACCTTGACTTCATCCAAAATGTTTACATGGCCTTGATGTATCTCACAAGTTCCATCTGTTTTGTCTACATTTCCAGAATGAGCACATCACCATAATTTTTAGGAGTATTTCTGGAGGACTAATTAGAACTTTCAGCTGACAAATCAGCATGATTAGACACTGCCCGTATGGTGGGGTTAGTGTGTTGTGAGGAGAAGGCTGGGAAATGTTTGTGCCTTGCAGTTTGAAGTGGAATCTGTCTCCTGTGTTTACTCTTCGCTATTATGTTTGTCAGGATGCCTTGGGACATCCATGTGTTTATTGTTCATTTTTATATTCCTCAGGATGCCTTTGGACATCCTGCCAGTGAGATGAGGATAGGGGAGCTCCGTCCTTCCATGCCTGAGACTCCGTTGTACCCCCCCAAACTCGTTCTGCTGGGTAAAGACAAGAAAGGTACTGACTTGGTTTACAACAACCTTTGAGATGAAAATGTGTGTGATATGCAAGGAGAGATGTTCCTGGAAATGTTCTACCTTTTGCTGTGATTTTAAAACAAATCCCATGCATATTTGTGCACACACACACACACACACACATATATGTCCATAGTTCCAGTTTAAAAATGTGTTTTTCTGGAGTTTAATTCTCAAATGCCACACTCTGAAAGCATTTGCTGTGTTTTGTTTCAGAGTCGACAGATGAGTCTGAAGCAGATAAGATCCATTGTCTGAATAACAGCGTTTCCTCAGGCACTTACTCAGACTATTCCCCTTCCCAGGCTTCCTCAGGGTCCTCCAATGCGCACGTTAAAATGGGCTCCTTGCAGACAACGGCTAAAGAAGCAGTGAATAACTCTCTGTGGGGGAACAGGTGTGACCATCTTTCTTAGCACAGCTTCTGGTGGCATTTTATCTTTTCATATGCACTGAAAGTGACTGTGTCTTCCCCCAGAGGGTGGTTGGGCACTGAACAGGCTTCCCAGGGCAGTGGTCACAGCACCAAGGCTGACAGAGCTCAAGGAGCGTTTGGATGATATTCTAGGGCATGTGGTGTGACTCTTGGGGATGGGCCTGTGCAGGCCAGGGGTTGGACTCGATGATCCTGATGGGTCCCTTCCAACTCAGCATATTATGTGATTCTTTATTGATCTCTTAAGGCATTTGGTTTAAAAAGTCCACATTTTTTCCCATTTGTGTGTAGCTGATCACAGCCCAGGCTGTGCAGAGCTGGCCATCCATCCATACTCTATAAACACCAGTAATTCTACAGCTGGTGGGTCAATTCTGGGCTATAACCAGGCATTAAAGCTCCTGGAGGCTGGCTGCAGTCTTTGTCCCATTATTGCTGTCCCAACCTCCCTCTTCCCTGGATTCCAAGAACAACATGGAAACTTTTCTTGGAAAGCTCTAATGAGCCATCAGCAGCCCGAGAACACCCTTGTACCACACCAGGAACACCCTGCCCTGTCTGTCCCTGCCATAAATCACTTCATGTGGTTCCATCCACAGGCTCTGTCCTGTTAAAGAGAGGCTCAGCCTGCTCAGGGGAGATGCATAAAATCTTGGTGGTGAGAACACAGACAAACTACATCTGGTATCTTTGTTTAAAAATAAAGTAATGTAAGTGTGAAAAACCTTCTGTTGCACTCACAGATTATTTTTACAGCAGGTAAATATGTTCAGCTGGATTTCTGTGAACACGGCATGGAGCCAGCCGGGCCTGTCACTGACTTCTTAGTTTCTCCATGTGTGTACTGACACAATCTGTGCTCCAGGGCAAAAAGCTGCTTACACCTTTGTGCCAAGCCAGTGGCACGAGGTTCATGTCTCAAAGCACAATCCCAAAGCCAGAGCATAGATGGGAGAGTCCTAAATTGTTTTAAGCTCATAGAGAGCGTCCAGAGGAGGGCAAAGGACATGGGGAAGGTCCTTGAGGGGAAGCTGTGTGAGGAGCGACTGAGGGCTGGAGGAGACTGAGGGGAGATTTCATTCCAGTTACAGCTTCCTTGGGAGGGGAAGAGGAGGGGCAGGCACTGATCTCTGCTCTGTGGGGACCAGGGACAGGACCCCAGGGAATGGCCTGAAGTTGTGTCAGGGCAGGTTTAGGTTGGATCTCAGAAAAAGGTTCTTCCCACAGAGGGTGGTTGGGCACTGAACAGGCTCCCCAGGGCAGTGGTCACAGCACCAAGGCTGACAGAGCTCAAGGAGCGTTTGGATGATCCTCTGGGACACCTGGTGTGACTCTTGGGGATGGTCCTGTGCAGGAGTAAGGGTTGGACTCAATGATCCTGATAGGCCCCTTCCAACTCAGCAGATTCTGTGACTCTGTGATTCTGCTGTCATTCTGGTGATGGTTTATGTGCTGCGATAGAGGGCATTTTATCTTGTTCCCTTCTCTCTTGTCTTTGCAGGCTGGCACAGTCGTTCCCGCAGCCCCTGGAGACCAAGCCATTGCTGAGCCAGCGGGAATCGGCTCCAGCCGGGAACCTGCCGGCGCGGCCGGAACGGCGCCCGCTGAGCGACACGTTCACCGAGGGCTGGACCGACAGTTCCCACTACGACAACACAGGGTTTGTGGCCGAGGAAAGCACAGTGGAGAACCCCAGCGCCAACCCCCTGCTCACCACCAAATCGAGGAGCTCATCTGCACACGGGCGCAGGCCACTGATCCGACAGGACAGGATAGTTGGCATCCCTCTGGAGCTGGAGCAGCCGACGCTCAGAAACACACACGAATCTGAAGTGCCTCCTCCCAATCCTTGGCAAAATTGGACCAGAACCCCTAGTCCCTTTGAAGACAGGACAGCTTTTCCTTCCAAACTGGAAAGCACTCCCACCACCAGCCCTTTGCCCGAGCGGAAAGATCATGTCAAAGAGTCTCCTGAAATGACAAGTACTTTCCCCCCAGGAATAGCATGGGAATATCACGACTCAAATGCTAACAGAAGCCTCACAAACGTCTTTTCCCATATTCACTGTCGCCCAGATCCTTCCAAAAACGTCATTTCCATCAGCAAGAGCACAGAGCGGCTTTCCCCAATGATGAGGGATTTAAAAACGAACAAGTTTAAGAAGTCTCAGAGTATCGATGAGATAGACATTGGTACATACAAGGTGTACAACATCCCCCTAGAAAACTATGCATCCGGGAATGATACTGTAGGGCCTCACGAGAGGGTGGACAAGCTGCTGGGCCCGGAGCATGGCATGCTGAGCATGTCCCGCAGCCAGTCTGTGCCCATGCTGGACGACGAGCTGCTGACCTACGGCAGTGTCAAGGTGCAGCCGCAGCAGAAATCGTCTGTCACCAAGAAAGTCTACCAGTTTGACCAAAGCTTCAACCCCCAGGGTACTGTGGAGGTCACGGCCGACAAGAGACTCCTGCCGCCCTTCCAGCTCAACCCCGAATACATCCCCCAGCCACCCAAAAACCTGCCCCAGGAGCTGGTGAGCCCGCGGGGGTACCGCGGGTATGCACCCGTGGAGCCCATGTTCTCCTTCTCGCAGCCCTCGGTGAGCGAGGAGCCTGTGGGGCCCCCCTTTGGCAGCCAGGGCACACGGCCAGGCTTCCTGCGCAGGGCGGATTCACTGGTCAGCTCCACCGAGATGTCCATGTTCCGCAGAGTCAGCGAGCCCCAGGAGCTGCCCCCGGGCGACAGGTACGGCCGGGCCCCGTTCCGCGGGGCGGCCGAGCGCCAGAGCGGCATGGCCGTGCCTGAGGCACAGTTCCTCAAGCGCAACGGGCGCTACGAAGATGAGCTCCCTTCCTACCAGGAGGTGAAAGCCCAGACTGGGAGCTTCCCAGTTAAAAACCTCACGCAAAGGAGGCCCTTGTCCGCACGAAGCTACAGTACAGAGAGCTACGGCACATCCCAAACCCGGCCCGTCTCAGCGAGGCCGACAATGGCAGCGCTGCTGGAAAAGATTCCGTCAGACTATAACTTGGGTAACTATGGCGACAAGCCTTCCGATAACAGTGATATAAAGCCAAGGCCTCCCCCTGGGAAGGGAAATGAGAGCTGTGCTAAAATGCCCGCTGACTGGAGACAACAGCTACTTAGACATATAGAAGCTAGAAGGTTAGACAGGGTATGTTTGGCATTTCTCTGCAATTAATGCCTTTAGTTGTGTGTTTCGGTATGTCAAACTATTTGCACGTGCAGTGGTGACCACCAGAATTCCCAGTAATGCAATGCAATTCCTGCCTTGTTGTCAGAAGAGCTGGCCTGCGAAGGGCCCTAGGGGTGCTCAGCTGGAGTGAGGAGTCCCAGGTAAACCCAGAGGCTCCACTCTGGTCACTGAGGTGGTGGCTCCTGCAGCACTCCCCAAAATGATGAAAGCCCATAAGATTCTGTCCTGCTTGTGGATGTGGATGTGCTGCTGGAGCCCACCACGTCAGGCACAACTGGGAGCTCTGGGCACATCTTGACAGTTAAAGTGAATAGAGAAAAACATCACTGAGAATAAGTAAAATAATGTATTTTAGCTTTCATATCACTGTTAGAGAGGGTTTAAAAGTGTCTCTTGACTGAGAAATAGCACTGGGCACCCACTGCCACTGTTTTGAATGAGGAATGTGATCATTACTCCTTTTAGCTGTAGGAAGTTGTGCTGATTTGCCTTCTATCCGAAGAGTACAAGTCCTTTAGTGCATGATTTCAGTCATTACCTATTTAATGACCTACTTCATGAATCGCATTTACTTCATGATCTGAAGTGGTTGTGAAAAATTACTGTCATGAAATGCGTAAGAAGGTAGTTGCCAAATGTGTCCATTTACCTACTTTATGCCAGAGCCTCCTGAGTTTGGTGTTACTACACTCCTCACCTCCCAGTTTCTCAGATGTGATGCTTATTAAAATATCATTAGGGCCCAGTGGGTTAAATTTAAAAAACGGGCTCAAAGGCTGAAGTGTTTCCTTCCTTCAGCTCTTTTCCTTGTGCTGTGTAAAACCAATTGGAAAATACTCCCCAGGGAAACCAGTGCACCCCGAGCAAACCATTTCTGGTGGAAATAAACACTTCCGAGCTGCTGATTTGTTTAAGAAATATCTTCATGCTTAAGTTACAATGTGTGTCAAGGAATACCTGAACTCACGGAAAGCTGACATTGGTGATTCTGCTGAGTTGGCAGCAATCCCAGTGAGCTGGTTACTGCTGGTTACAAAACTCTCAGGAGTTGAGCTGCCTGGTGGAGGGTTTGCTGGTGAGAAGCCCTGGGCATTCCTATGGAGCAGCTGCTCCAGGAGAAGCTGCTGCCTGTCGGGTCTATGCAGGACTGTGGCAGTGGGCAGGGAGCAGGTGCTCCTGGGATGGAGCAGAGCCTTCTCCCCCAGGGTTTGCTCCTTGCTGCCAGACACATCTCTGGCCTATCTGTGGTTGTGCAGCCGAGCCTAAATTTGGCCATATTTGCAAAATAAAGACTTGTACCATGTGATACAACTCCAGATACCAACACACCTCATCTGCTGTCAGCGTGGAAGTCGTTTCTGGTATCCATTTTATGTACAATGAGCAATGTACTTGCTTTGTGTGACCCAGTGCATGCCCCGGGGAGCTATTGATCTCTTGGGACTGTTTGTTTGCTTAAACTAAAACTCTGTGAACTTAACCATATATGTGTGATACTTAATTCGATGAGCATGTGTGTTCATATCTGTCACGTGGTTGTTTCCTCTACTCAGACCGCTGCTTACAAACACCACACAGTTAGCCTTGGCATGCTGCACTCTGGAGGGGTTTCAGCAATGCATGCCGGCCGAAGCATGACTTTAAACTTGCAGACTAAATCTAAATTTGAAAACCAAATGCTTCAAGAGCTACCTCTACCGAAAGTAAGTATGGGCTAGCCAGTCACTGGCATTCCCAATAAATTAACTCCTTGCTTCCTCCTGGTTTAGCTTTTGCCTACTACTCATGCTTATACAGACCCAATCCAAAAAGCAAGGGTGGCAGTGTACAGTTTTCCTCCTGAGTGGTCTTGCTTTTTGGATTCTGGGTTTCCCATGGCTGTCATTCCTGCTTCCTGCTCTCGTCCTCCAGACCAGTGCCATCATATTCTCAATCTGTGAAGAGAAATGGGGAATGTGCTTTGCTCTTGGACTGTTTGAGCTTAAAAAAAGGATGGTAGAAATGTTGAATATGCATTTAAATAGGCTCCAGGAGACAAGGATTTTAATATTTGAGCATTAACTGGCTCTGCCGTAGTAGCTGATGAGGTTTGAGCACACCTACCACACCCAAACCCATTTTAAACTTTGGTTGAGTAACACCTATAGAAAGAGAATAACCTCATTTTTTTACTATTTGACATCTATTCTTATATATTGCCAACAAGTACAGACATACAAGACCGTCCCAAACAAATGTTTGAATGGAAAAGCACACAGGACAAGCCAGAGAAGGACATTGCTGCAGGATTTGCAGTGTCAAAGAGGAGATCCTGAGACCTTCTGTGCATCCATGTGGCCACACTCCCAGGGTCAGGGAAATGTAGGAGGGACAGGCCTCACTCGGCCTCTCCCTGCTTTGGCAGCAGGAGCTGTTGGGACACATTAGCAGCATCTCTGAGTAATTAAAGGGCTGCAGAACACAGATCCAGGCACTGCCATGGGATCAACTGTGCTGGTGATTGCCGGGCTGGCCTCCAGCACCTCTGGCACCTACTCAGGCAGGACCAGCCCTGGCCAGAGATTCCCACAGGAGGCTTCCAAGGCCCCATTTCAGAGCTTAGATCCAAGGCTGGTAAGAAGAATAGGGTGATATAATGGCAGCAGCATGAGCAGGTTGTGTGGATTGGACAGACCTCGGCTCTGCTCAGCTCCCTGATGCGGCACGAACTCTGTGCTGGAGTTGTGGGCAGAGCTGGGACAGGATAACATCACACATGGATCAGTGTCAGGCTTTTCCTGCTGGGACTGACTCTCCATACACTGTCACCTCCATCCCCCATGCCATCAGCTGTCCCTGGGTTCCCTCACCCTGCTCTCTGTGCTTCTCTGTTGTTGGGTGGGTGGCACCGAGAGGCCCCCCAGAGGTGTGTGTTGGCCACGGGTGACATCCCAGTGTTGTCTCTGCTTCCAAAGAACCTGTCTGTCTCCTTGAGTACATGCCAGGTCTTGTCACAAGTCCTTGGAAAAATCCATTTTCCATCAACCGCAAATAACAGTGCTGGTTTGCTACACACATCAGGAATACAGTGTTTTATGGTACTTCCAGGATTTGAGGCTGTAAATGAATATGGATATTAATGGATGGATGTCTGAGGAACTAATGAATCTATTCAAAGTGATATGTTTTGGGGTGTGCTCTGATGTGGATTATTCTGCTTTCTATTCCACCAGCGTTTCACTGCTCCATACCCATATAAACTGTGATGCCAAACTGCATTAGGGGGCTTATTCTTTTATTGTACTGTTTGGGAAGCAGGGGAAAATTATTGTTGAATGAATATTGTGTATATTTAGTATGGTTTAATTCTATTCCTTCATATGTTCTAAAGGTTTTGCATTTCTTGATGAATCCAGGCCACAGCATTTTAATGTTTGTCTCCTTCTCCTCCCTCTTTCCTGTGGCCTGGATTCAAGAGAGTAATGAGTGAGGTCTGGTTGTCCAGTGGATGGTCAGGAAATCAAGTTTACCAGTAACTTATTTTCAGAATGTTTATTGCATTGATTCTGCTCACTGTAGAAAATGCTTGAACTGCTGCTTTTCATTGTTTACCCAGATTTAATAGATGTGGGTTTGCTTTCAGTCTGTCCGAGCTCAGAAAATGAGCAGTACTGCAAGGGACCAAATTCATTTTACTGCAGAAAATGAAACCACAGAATTTTCCTGTTTATTGAGAAAGCAGAAAACGCCCTCTGTATTTTTGCTTTTTCCCTCTCGAGTGCAAACTCCCTCCTGCAGATCAGTCAGTGGGGAAAAAACCCAGACCTTTTCCATTTTTGGGATCCATCTCTCAGGTGGTTTAAAAGTTTATGGTTTGGTGGAATCCATTCCCAGAAGTGTCTGTTGCCACCTCCCTTGGAAATAATAGTCAGTCAGGAGAAAAGCAGAGGTTCCCCTTGGAATGAGCCTCTCTACCCCCTCTCTGCATGAGGAGGGCACCCAGAGAGGCCCAGAAGCTGATCCCTCAGGATGTGAGAGGATTCTCAGGGCAGCTCTGGAAGGGATGGCTTTATTTTCCATTTTAATGGTGTAAAGAAAGCTCGACAAGGAGGTCTTCCAGCAGTGGAAATGTTTTTCTAGTGGTTTTTAATAGAAGGAAAATAGCAACTTTCATGATTTTTCTGGAAGACTTGAAGGATGAAAGAATTATAATGAAAGTTTTCTTTCATTTTAAATCAGAGTTGAAATTTTTTTTATTTAGCCACTGAGATGTGTGATTAAATCACAATTTACTTCTATTTACTTTTAAACTTCTGTTAAAAAATAGTTTTTAATTGACAAGTTCCCAGCTTTCATGTTTCAAAGCAAATGCAATTCTTCAGCCATCTGAAGAAGTGTATCCTGATTTTTTTTTAATCTAAGCTGGAGAAGAATTTGCTTGAATGACAGAGGGGGAAAATAGCTATTTTTTGTTTCTTTGTAGATTAACATTGATCAGAACTCAATAAGCACCACATCATTCAGGTGCTATCAGTGGTAGCACAATGTTGGAGTTTTGGAAAGTCTGACCCCCATGTTGGGAAAATTTCCAGTGATGGTAGAGAAATAGAGGGACAGATAACAGAAAATCAAGATGGGACAAAAAAAGCACAGATGCCCTCCAAAGTCCTGAAAACAGGAGTAAAATAACCAGGGGGAAAAAGGACAAGGAAGAAATATTTATAACAGGAGAGAAAAGGGAAAGATAATAATATTTAGAAAATATTAAATGTGTGTTATGGCCATTTAGATTAAAAAATAAACCATTTAATTACAGGTTAATATTGTGCATATATCTGTTGGCTTAACATAAGCCAGGCCCATCCTAGAGAGGTCTGGGAGCCTCAGATGGAGCTGAGTGAGGGGGACAAGGAGTCACAACTTCACCTTTGCCATCAGGGAATGTTTTCTGCAGAAAATAAAAGCATCAAATTTGTATTGGTGGCCAATACTTCGTAAAAAAAGCCTTTGCTGCTTGAATGAGGAGCAAGAAAGTTCTAACTCACTGGTAATGGCAGACTGCACATTGAAATGTGGGATTTCAACCAAATTTGTTTCTCTGAGTCATGTTAAATGAATTTTCTCTTTTCTCTCATCATTCATTATTCTCATGATTTCTCTCCTATGCCTTTCAAGCCCTCCTGCTTGCAGAGGGTCCCCCAGCAATGTGGTCACATGTTAATGAAATACTGGGGGAATTAGGAGGATTTCTGTTGTAGCAATAGTGTGGTGCAGTTTATTTAACTGGGTTAGTGACTGAACTGAAGCTGAGGAGGGGTTGTTTGGTGACTAAAGGCTGCCCTACATTTGTGCAACAGACCCCGTCGCAGCAGAGCAGCATCCTGGACAACGGGCAGGACGAGGTGTCCGTGGGCAGCCAGTGGAACCCGTACCCGCTGGGGCGGCGGGACGTGCCCCCCGACACTGTCACCAAGAAGGTAAGGAAGGGATCCTGGAGCGGATCCTGCTCCCAGCACCTCTCCAAGAAGGAGAGGAGGTGTATGAGGACACCCCTGGTTTTGTTTCAAGGCTTAAAGCAATAATTGTTGGTAATTCAGGGCGTGTTTTGCCCATTTTTGTGTGGTTTGTGTGGTTCCATCTCTGGTGTGTGCAGCGGGCACAGAGGGCTGGGCAGGTGCGTTCCTGTCCCTTGGCCTGCAGAGTCTCATCAAATGTTTCATTTCAATGACAATCATAACAAATGACGTGTTGGGATGGTGCCAGCCCAGCTCTGAACAGGCACAGCCATTTCATTGATAAACTCACCAGAAATGGGTCTAATTTCTGGTACCTTGTGGTGGATGTTGAATTCCAGTAATTGGAGCTGAACTGGTCATGTGCAAACATTGGCTGCTCCCTCCCAGCCCCAGCTTGGCTCATCCACTCAGGAACTGCTGGGTTTGGCTGCTCTAATTGCAAAGCTGGAGAATGGAGGGTCCTGACAAACTCAGCTGTGTTTGGAGTCGGTGTTGGGAGGTGGAGCTGCACATGGGATAATTACAGTGGTTGTTGTCTGCATAGAGATCCAACCAGCTCATCCCTGGAGTGAAGTCCTAGGGGTGAATAACACCAGTGAAAGTCATGGTGTGTACACTGATAACTGCTGTGTGATTAACTCTCAGCTGATGAGGAAGGACCTCCTTTCACAGCTTTTATCCAAGGCAGTGGCAGAAGCAGCAACCCTTGGCTTCACAGAGAGGTGCAACCACAGGTCCATGTGTACAGGAGGATTGCTGGAGGATGGGAGATGGAAATTGCACCTCCCAGGCCCAAGAGGAGGAGGAAGAGGAGGAGGAGGGGGTGCCATGACGGGGTGTGGTGGAGTTGGCTCTGACAGCCAAGTTATTTATCATCTGATATGCAAGAAATGAGGATGAGAAATGTAAGACAAGCCATTTCTTGTCTTCACTGGCATTTTGGGCTAAAACCTGTGTTGGTCCGTTCCCAGTCGGACACTGTTGTTGTCTTACATTTGTGCACCATCAGTGCACAGTCAGTGCTGTAACAGTTCACCATCAACAGAGCACCATCAGGACTGTAATAAATTCAACTGCAGATTCTCTTTTGTTCTGAATATTTCAGTATCTGGCTGCTCCCATGGGATAAGTACAAACATTGCTTCACTCAGCAGATCTGTCATTACACCCACTGCCAGCTACTCCAACTGTACCGTAAATATTGGACACCGAGCTGAAAATAATTAACTTTTGTGCTGGATGATAAGTAAAGAATACAGATGAAACTGGGGAAGCAGTCTGCATAATAGAGATCTTTTCTGCAGAAGAAATAATTTCCATTTCCATGAGAAGCAGCTTATCCCCCTCCAGAAGAGCCATGGTGTGAATCCACAAGCAGGAGTGATAACAATCTCCTCAAAGTCTATTAACAGCAGAGAGAAAATGAATTCTGAGAGCTGTTTACTCACCTTCCTCAGGAGGGATTTGTAATGTGCTGGTGTGACAACACTCATCTCTCCAAGCAAAGTCACCTCCAATGTCTTGGTTTTCCAGCATCTGGGGATTAGAATCCAGCAACTATTTGAAGTCATTCAGAAACTCTTCTATAGAATTGAAGTTCAACATAGCAAACAATTAAATGTGCAAATATAAATTGTAATATCTTTTGGTTTTCCACTAACTGGGCTCCTGCAGAGCTGAGTCACTGTGTGGTAGAGCTGTGCTTGGGAAATCGTGGTAAGAAGAGTTGAGAGTTGTTTTTCCAAGGGGAAGGGTGTGTATGGCGGATGGATGGACTGTGTACTTATGCTGATGTAGAATCATGGGATCATTTAGCTTAGAAAAGATCTCCAAGATCATTGAGTCCAGTCATTAACTGGTATCTAACTGTATATAGACACTAATACACATTCCCAAATTTCCCCCACACAGACCTACTCTGTGTGTAGTGATGGCTGTTTCTGTCAGTGAGCTGGGAATGCTGCACAGGCATCACTACTTCATTAACTGGGCTGTGGGTGGTTGTTTCCATCCTTCTTGCTGTTCATAATGCAGATTAAATGCCCATTTTACCTCAAGTCCATAATTTATGGGCTAGTTCTCCTATGGCAAAATTGGATATTTTAATCTCCCAATTGAATAATCCACTGATTTATTAAAAGACCGTTAAAAGCCTGCAGTATTTAGGCTTCCTGGAAAATGACTTTTACTGTTGTGTCCACAAGACAGAAACACAAGACAGGAGCCATCCTTCCTTGGCTGGTATTAGCAAAAGACCAAGTTGATGTAAATGCAGTATTTAACTTTTCTCTACCAAATATTGGAGCTTCAAACCAGCAGATGTTGTCACAGAAATGTTATCACAGAAATTTGATTGGTTATATTTGGTAAAAGCCACGTTTGGTCACAGGACAAGGCACAGGTTTTAAATGCTGGTGCTCTCCATACCCAGAGCATAACCTTGGTCAGTGTCTGTGTCTGTTACAGATCTTATTCCAAATTATCCTCAGATAAACCAAACATTCCAGTATCTTCATAGTGGGCTGTATTAAATTATTCACCCTCCTTTGATTTATTAAATGTTTTCAGTTCACAAAACACCCTGAGCAGAAATGTGGATGTGACATGAGGAGAAAAATACTTTATGTTTATTAAATGGCTGATTCTCCCCAAACTTCCCAGGTCCCCGGTGCCATGGGCATGTCCCTGCTGCTTTTAATCCTGGTTTTCCCAGCTGTGCTCCAAAGGCAAACCTCTGCTGGGGCTCAGGTTTGCTTGGCCCCAACTGTGAGTTTAATAATCATTTCCTTTCAGCCTCCTGCCTTTGTGGCTTAACGGGTTGCATTGCCCACAGGCAGGTAGCCACATCCAGACCCTCATGGGATCCCAGAGCCTGCAGCACCGGAGCCGGGAGCAGCCCTACGAGGGGAGCATGAACAAGGTCACCATCCAGCAGTACCAGCCACCCCTGCCCATACAGATCCCGGCAGCCCAGAGCTCCCGAGCCCCCCAGACCGGGCGGTGCCTCATCCAGACCAAGGGCCAGCGGAGCACCGACGCCTACCAGGAGCAGGTGAGAGGGGCTGCACTGCAGCTTCAGGACAGAGATGTTCCTGTGTTTTCCAAGGTGTCCATGGGACAAGGGAGCCTTGGGCAGGAATGGGGCAGCTGAGCTGGGCAGCCCAGGGAGCTCTGGTTGATCTGGGAGAGCACTGGTTGTACTGGGGGAACTCTGGATGGACTGGGGGAGCTCTGGTTGGAGTGGGGGAGCTCTGGTTGGGCTGGAGACAGGCTGGATCCATCCCCTTCCCCAGCACCAGCCATCAATACCCATTTTCTCTTGGACTGATCAAGTAACACCGTTTGCCACTGAAGTCCCTGAGCAGAACTGGCATCACAGGGTCACACCGAATTAATTTGCAGCTTCTACCTGTTCCCCAGTAACCCAGTTCAGTGTCAACAGGCAGGTTATTTTATAATATGCTAATCTGCTCAGATCTGCCTAGTGAAAGGCCATCTGCAGCCCCAGTGCCCCCAGCACTGGGGATTTCCTTCATTAAGTGATCCTGTCCTCATTATATTTGGCCTTAATGACTGAAATACCTGTTTGGGGCCCCTGACTTTGCTGAATGAGGTGCAGAACAATCAGTAAGCCTTTCTCTTGTGTAAAGTGCTGGTCAAGCCACGTGAGCAGCTCCCTGTATTACATCCCTGATGTTCAGAACCAGTTGCTGGTGTGGCTCGAGGATGTGCTAAGCCCAGCTCAGTGCACAGTCATTAAGCTCCTCTGAAGTAATTTTTATTTTATATTCAATGACCCAATGCTATTTAGAGTCATCCTGACTAAAAGAGAAAGTTCAGCACTGTCTCCTGGGGCAGAGTGGATGGTGTTCAGTGCAGGTTGTGGGCCTGTGCCCTGACCTGGCAATGCTCTGAAGATCCCTGAGCTTTGAGTATTTATCCCTTGCTTTGTCCGAGGGGTGCTGCACATGTGACTCCTTCTGGAAAAATAAAATTGCACAGATTAAGCCTCACTGACAGGTTTATCCCAATGTTTAAGTGAAAAATTTGACCAATGTGAACATCTCACAGGTCTAAAGGGGTTTTTTTCTCCTTGAAAACGAAACTTTAAAATCCATGCAAAAATCTATGAACGATAGGGAATATTATGGTATCACTGTGTGCTAAAATCATGCCAGTACTTCCAGTTCATAGCAATGTTTCATGGACTTTCCCCACGTTGTGCAGTGCAGGGCTCATCTCATCCCGCTGATGGTGAACGGGATGTGTGGGAAGAAGGATGCTGTGGTTTAGGAAGAGTTTAATGTTGGCATCCACTTACCCTGCCCTGTCTTTCTAACCTAGTTTTGTGTGAGGATAGAGAAGAATCCTGGCCTGGGGTTTAGTATCAGTGGTGGAATAAGTGGACAAGGAAATCCATTCAAACCTTCCGATAAGGTATGTTGGGAATTTCTCTCTACCTGGTCCTTATTTTAGAGTGGAGACGTGGAGAACATGAGTGAGATGTTTATAGAGATGTGGAGAATATGAGTGAGATGTTTATGTCCTTCTGTTGTGATTATTGAAAGACTTTTCCCCACACTTGGCTTTTTTTTTGTTTTATTTTGTTTTGGGGGGGTTTTTTGTGTGTTGTTTGCTTGCTTTTCCCAGTTAATGAAAATGAGAGAATCAAACATCAATCCCATGGGTGTCTGCCCCATATTCCATGTCTAAGAATTTTTCAGGTTGTTTTCTGGAGAATTGTCTCTCTCACTTTTAAGAGTCACTTTTGGCCCTGATTTAAACTTTTAACTAAATTAACACCAAACCAGCGTACCAGTAGCTGGAATGCCAGGATTTGTAGCTGCTGTGTCAAATAAAACCAGTCTGGCCTGTAAACTGGAGATCACTGGATCCTTACAGACCCCATGGCACCAGTTATCTTCTGCACTGGGAATTAAGAATGTCCCCATGAGGAACACGGTGGTCAGGGAGACTCAGGATTCATTCTGGGAATTGCAAGTCTAAGATAGGTCTCTGTGTGATAAAAGGAAGCCTAGAAAAACTCTACCACCTGGTGATTCCCAGCTCCAGGGGCTGTAGGATTAGGAAATGGACTCTTAGACCTGTGAATTTGTTTGTTTAGTGCAATAAAACTGAGTGGAGTTTGTTGGAAAATGAGCACTTTGGGCACCTCTCTGTTGAACACGTTCCTAGAGTTGATGTCCTTTGATAATCCTGGATTCTGTTTGCAGAGACAGTCAGAACTTCCATAAGTGTGGAGAATGTTTTGCAAATGATGAAGTTTTATGAAACTCTCTTTTAATCTCTTTTCAAAACTTTGAGATCTGCCTGCAAATTAAAGAAATCAATTCCCCACCTTTCTGAATTACAACAGAAAACTGACTGGGAATGTAAAATAGGCTTGGAAATACCAACCAGTCTGAATTCCTGGTCAAAGGAAAGTGTCCTTGCCCATTGCAGGGGGTGGAACCAGAGGGCTTTTAAGATCCCTCCCAACCCAAACCAGTCTGGGATTCTGGGATTGATAATCCTTGTTTTGAACTTCCAGAGTAGTTCCATGTAATGTACATAAAACTCAGGAATTTTAACTACTGTCCTTTAAAACGTTCTCATTTTGAGTGTCCTTGGAGACTTCACTCTGGAATTACACTTTATAACATCAGGGCCTGGTTTTGCACAGTTGAAGGTGGGATGGTAGAATTAAACTGGACTTTCCTGGCTGTCACTTGGCTGAAGTGACTAAAGGAGGGTCCCTGTTCCACTCTGAATGTGTCTGGAGCAGGGCAGGAACAGCTGGAGATAGAACTGGTTTTCCCACTCACAGGAATGCAGCTCAGGGAGTGATGGGAGGGGAATTAATAGTTAAAGGGTTTTTCTGTATTGTTACTCTGAACCATCACTTCCCACACTGTGATACCAGATTTGTCATATTTTAAATGAAATGCTGATGTCACTGGGATGAGAGGACAGGAGAAGCCATGGAGAAGCTACCATTCCTTTGACACAGCAGAACCCTGCCACAAGTTCATGGCACAGGGATGAGGTTTCAGCAGCCCATGGCTCTGCTCCCAAGGAGCTTGTGTTTCATACTGGGAATACGGGGCAGGGCCTTGCTCAGGAGACTGTAAAATCCCTCAGGGATGCACATGATGGTGGTGCCAAGCAGGGATTTCCCTGGTGTCCCTGGGAGCGATGGGAATGTTCACATTTAGTCTTGGATTCCCGTTGGAGCAGGGAGAGCACAGAACTGAGGGGCCAGGGCTGATGAGCTGTGTGGGAGTTTAATGTGCTCATCAGCTGGAACCAAGCTTTGATTTGGGGGTTTATTAACAGATTTTACTGAAATTCTGAAAACAAATCTACAACTATCCTTTATTTTTAATAACTTTTCCTCTTTTAGAGCCTTTTCACTGCTCAGACACCGGATTAAAGGTCTGTCCCACAGCCCATGGAACTGAAGATCTCAAGGGCTGAATAATCAACTGCTTTCTAGACATTTTTTAAGCTTTTTTCTTTCCTAGAGGAAGCAAACAAAGGTTACTGTGTAGATTATGGTACAGATTATTCTAATAAATTAATGCTTGCTCCATTTTAATTACCCTCTTGATAACCCTGCCACTCTATTCATATTGGACAATATTTTGTGAGGTGGAATCTTAGTTAAAAATGACCCACTGTTATATTTATTGGGTGAAGTAGCTGAAGCTGCTAGAAGCCCAACCTAGTGTTTGATTACAAACAGATTAAAATGGAGTTTGGTGTTTAGCCCAAGTCTATAAAGCCCCCAGATCCCAGTTAGGGACGCACCTGTATTTTGGGCTGTAGGTCTCGGAGATGGCATCCTAACCTGTGTTACTTTGACTTATAGGGTATCTTTGTTACTAGGGTTCAGCCTGACGGCCCCGCGTCCAGCCTGCTCCAGCCCGGGGACAAGATCCTGCAGGTACAGGGGGAGGGACTGCTGGGGGGCTGAGGGCAGCTCAGAAATGCAGTGGTGCTGGTGCAGGCCTGAAGTTGTGTCAGGGCAAGTTCAGGTTGGATCTCAGGAAAAGTTTCTTCCTGCAGAGGGTGGTTGGGCACTGAACAGGCTCCCCAGGGCAGTGGTCACAGCACCAAGGCTGACAGAGCTCCAGGAGTGTTCACATGATCCTCTGGAGCACGTGGTGTGAGTCTTGGGGATGGTCCTGTGCAGGGCTGAGGGTTGGACTCAACGGTCCTCATTGGTCCCTTCCAACTCAGGATATTCTGTGATTCTGTGAGTTAACTGACAGTTCTGTTATTATATAAACTATTATATATAGTTTAATATTGATTTATAGCAGAGTTACTTGCAGAACTTTTTGTCCAGGTGGCCAAGAAGGCCAGTGACACCTGGTTTGTATCAAAAATAGTGTGGCCACAGCCCCGGAGCACTGATGTCCCCCTGCACTGGGCACTGCTGAGGTACCTCCAGTCCTGGGGTCAGTTCTGGGCCCCTCAGACAAGAGACACAGTGAGGGACTGGGGCATGTCCAGAGAAGGGAATGGAGCTGGGGAAGGGTCTGGAGCATCAGGAGCAGCTGAGGGAGCTGGGGGGGCTCAGCCTGGGAAGGAGGCTCAGGGGGGACCTGGAGCAGGTGTGGCCATGGGGCCTGATCCCCTTCCTGAACTGTGTCCATTATCCTGGAGAATGGTGGATCTTCTACTTGGGCCTATTAAGCACAGTCAGTGAACTGTGGGTAATTATGTTTAACATTTGACTTTTGAAATAATTTTGGAACAGACAAGAAAGAGATTATTATAGTGAGATTTAATCAACAGAACAGCTTATAAATACTTCCCTCTTTATCTCTGTATCCAAACGGAGCCCATCCTGCCCATGCATGCAGCACGGCACCTGGAATATGGAAACCTTACATCCCAGAGTTATGCTTCCTCAGGAAACACACAAACTATCCCAGAGTTACAGGATCATTTCAGTTGGAATGAAGTATTCACTGGAGCCTCCAGTCCAGCCCCTGCTCGAAGTCAACGGAGGGCGAGAGAAACGTGTGCTCAGTGTTTGTGGGATCCTCATGTGTTCATTATTTATTTTAGCTTTTCATTTCCATCCACCCCTTTGTTACCCCAAAATGAAGCCACTATAGAGCTTTTTCCTGTGTTTGTCCCTGTTGCAGGCCAATGGACACAGCTTTGTACATATGGAACATGAGAAGGCTGTGCTTCTACTGAAGAGTTTCCAGAACACAGTAGACCTTGTTATTCAACGTGAGCTTACTGTCTAAATATTTTTTTATAAATAGTAAATATGTCTAGCCAGATCTAATGTTCAAACAGATTTATACATAGGAAACCAATTTTTTGCCAATTGCTGGACCAATGGCAAACAGTAGTGCCAAATGTATAATACTCTATGTTAGTACCAATCATCGGGAAAAATATATTAACTATATAAATATATTGTTCATGTGGCTCCGTATTAGTTTTACTTGTCAGCCTCTGGCTGTGCATTGGTGCGTTTTTTTAATCAAGTTACTTCTTAAAGTCGATTTCATATGATTTCAGAACACAGAAGCACATACAAATCCTTTAGGAATTCTGCTGTCCATCAGAAACACTGCCTCAGAGTTGTATATGCCTTTATAAAGATGAACTATATTAACCTGTACTTCCCATGAAATATTTCTATCATGTCACATACAAAAGTATAGAGAAAAAATATTTTCATAAACACCTCAAAGAAAGTATATATTAAATTAAATTTAATAATGTTCATTTATTTTCAATGCAAAGATATTCTATGCCTTATGAAAATACCTGTACATATGCCGTGTGTATAGTTGGCTCCGTAGGGATCAGGAACAATTCATATACAGGGTGAGAGACTTCTGAAATTGAACTCTGGGACCTCGGTACAAAAACCCACATGGAAATGGGTGAACTTCCTTTGGAATGGGTTAAAACTTCCTTTAGGATGTGTTAACTTCCTTTGGAATGGGCCAGGTTGGATGGACCTTGGAGTGACCTGGTCTAATGGAAGGTGTCTCTGCCTATGGCAGGGGATGGAATGGGATGAGCTCTAAGGTCCCTTCCAAGCCAAACCATTCTATGATTCTATGATTCTGACTTCCTTTGGAATGGGTTAATCCCTTTGGTTTGGCACTTCCCATGGATTCCATGTGCACACACTACAGGAGAACCCCGAGGACAGGCAGGTTTGGCGCACAGATGGAGGAAGGTTGTGATGGTGGCAGTAAAACTTCTTTTGTTGCTGCTAATTTTATTATTTCACTTTTTTAATTTCCAATTTGAGGCCCTTTACTCACATCCCCCATTCCCATGGACATTGTTGTGTATCTTCACTGGCTCCAGGCTGGGCCGGGCCCTGCTTGGGATATTCCCATCGGGGAGGATTTATGTGATCCTTGATTTGATCAGGAGTCCTTTACAGGGAATGGGAGCAGGTTTGAGAGCTGACACATCCCAGGGAGCAGCAGGTGACACTGAGTGACACCAAGCCAGCCTGGGAGGAGCGTTCCCAGCTCAGGGCACAGTGTGACAACCTCTCAGGTCCAAGTCCTGGTACTGCTCCCAACAAAGAGAGTCCTGACAGCTGCTGGTGGTTCAGGGCTCCAGCATGGTTATACCTGATAGCAAGATGGAAAAACACAGGGAAACCTCCCTTCAGGTATTTTCAGGGGATCCCATTTCCCTGAGAAAGGGCTGAGGGAGAGCTGGCACCGGGCTTGTCTGTGGCCGGGCTCATTCCCACCCAAAAATCCCACGTCCAAGGGTGCAGTCACAGCCCACAGACACAGCCAGGAATATTCCACTTCGCTGCTTCCAAGAGCCACTAGGAATTCCTAAACCTTCCCTCCCTGGCTGTGGGACCTTTTGGAGCTTTGCTGGGAGCACAGGGACAGAGCTGAGCCCTGGAGAGCTGAGGGGTCCCCCTACACAGGGGGTCCTGCACAGGGTGATGGTGGGGGAGGAAAAAGAAAGCAAAAAAGCTGCTTTCAGAAAGCTTTTTTAAATTTTTTTGAGGAAAAAGCCCAGCCCAGACCCCAGGAAGCCTCCAAGACCCCCCTTTTCCCAGTGCCAGCTCACAGTTCGTATGCAGGTGATGACAAACTACGGGAGTTATCAGCCAGGTGTTCCAACAGCAACAATTTAACATCTTCAAATCTTGCTTTTCGAGATGTTTTATAACACATCCACGTCTGCATCTGTGTTTGGTGGCAGTGCCAGCCCCTGGGAGGGGACAGGAGATGCCAACTGGGGTGGCTGTGCCCAGCCAGTGGCTCTGAGCAGGGACCAGGCAGGACAATACTGGGGGTGAATGGGGCAGCTGAGAGCAGAGCCAAGGAAATCCAAGGAAAATCCAAGAAAAAAGGAGTATGGAATGTCCAGGATGTTGGTTTGCTGCTGTTAGTGAGCACTTGGAGTGTAAAGATGTTGGTTAAAGCCCCTTCCAGTGCCTGAAGGGACTCCAAGAGAGCTGGAGAGGGACTTTGGACAAGAGCCTGGAGGGACGGGACAAGGGGGAATCACTTCCCACTGCCAGAGGGCAGAGTTAGATGGGATGTTGGGGAGAAATTCCTGTCTCTGAGGGTGGTGAGGCCCTGGCACAGGTTGCCCAGAGAAGCTGTGGCTGCCCCGTCCCTAGGAGTGTCCAAGGCCAGGTTGGACAGGGCTTGGAGCAACCTGGGATAGTGGAAGCTGTCCCTGCCCATGGCAGAGAGTAGGACTGGATGAGCTTTAAGGTCTCTTCCAACCCAAACCAATCTGGGATTCTGTGAAACCTCTCTGCTGTAATATAGCATTAATTACCCTACGCAATCAAAAATGCTTATTTATAGATGTGTATATATCTGATAGGGAGATTTGCAACAGGAAATGCAAACCCTGTATTAAATTACAAAGGCACACATTTGGATCAGCTGAGACAGGCCACGGTGTCAGACCTGGGTCTGTACAGGATCAGTGGGGATCAAGGTGGTTATTCCTGGGAATTGTTTGTGGCAGGAGAAGGGCCGGAGCCAGGGCTGTGCTGCCCAGTCCAGCTCAGGACACGGGGGGGGTGGTCCATGTCCCCCCAGCCAGGCAGACCCTGTCCAACAGGATCAGGGTTGGACATGGGTCACACACAGGCACAGGAGGTGACAGGGCTGTGGAGTCACCACCCACCTTGGCAGGATTTGGCCATAAACACACAAGAACTTCCACCTCAACACGAGGTAGAACTTCTTTTCATGGAGGGTGGCAGAGCCTGGAATAGCTGCCCAGGGAGGGCATCCCAAATCCTGGACACATTCCTCTGTCTCCTGCTCCAGAGGACCCTGCCGGGGCAGGGGGTTGGACTGGGTGATCTCCAGAGTTCCCTTCCAACCCCAGCTATCCTGTGATCCTGTGAACTGGTGGGATTTCAGAGTTAGAAATCCCACATTGGGGAAGGTGGGAATTCTCTCTGCAGTCCGAGCTCCCTGCCCATGGCTGGCATGGCCCCTCCCTTCTCTCCCTTCCAGACTCCACATTCCCTTTTGAAGCGCACAAAGCCGTCTGGCCTCATCCCCTCATTCCCAGGCACTCAGGCCCTGGGTCATTCCCTGTGGCCGTGCCGATACAACTTTCCGGGCAGTAGTTTGATGGGATACGGATCCACTGGGGGTTTGGGTGCTTGGGAACAAGGCTGTTGGCACCGTGGGCCACTCCAGGAGCCTGCAGGGCCACTGCCAACCCAATCCCAAAAGGCACCGTTTTCAAATCATGGAATTGAAATTAAAAAAAACCAGAAAAACGTTTTGCCAATCCCCTTCCTGGATGATTCCAGCCGATTTTGTGGAAGTGACTGAATGACACCATTGCATTGTGTGAGGACCCCCAGCCCTGGCACTCAGGGCCTTTGTCTCTGGGCTGCCTCGGTGGCTCATGTCCCCCCCTCGTGTCCCCCCCTCGTGTCCCCTCCCCGGGCAGGGCACTCGCTCATCACTTCGGTTTTCTACCTGTGAGTACTGTATCCGGTTCAGAACCAACAGCTTCCTTTATTAAAGATTTTACCATTTTATAAAAGACATGTTTAATTATGATGGAGATGGCTGTATTGTAATTAATATTTTGAGATAATTGTGATTTTGAGCTTAAATTATATACAGAAATGGTCATTTTTGTATGTGTTCAAAGATTGCTATATTCCAGATGACTGTACTTTTCAGTTGAATTCCAGTATTCCTGTAAATAAAGCTGAATGAGGAAATATTTACTACTTTATTAACATAGATTGTGAATGTACTTCATGTTTTTTGCAGTATAAAGACTTACTGAACTTGAAAGCTGCTTCATTTTATGTGCAAAAAGGTACTTCAAAAATTCTATTTTAAATCTATTGATTGAGTGCAATCAACTCTCGTCCCTTGGCACATGCAGGTTGTCCCCTCCCCGTGCCCTGTGGGGCCCCGGCCCGTGCGTGTGGTGTTGATGCATTTTGCAGATGCTTCTGTCCATAGGGAGCCCAGGGACTGAACCGCCGCTGTGCAGTATTAGCAGAGCCATTTTCGGCTTTGGTGTACCCAAATTTTTCAGTATTTAAAAAAAAAAAGTGTTTTGAATAACATTAAAAAGTCTCTTTATTGTATAAATAATAAAAACGTCACCTTATTGTAATTCTTTTGGGTCATTTCTTTGCTGTCGGGAAGGATGGAAGGTTTGGGAGGGAGAGGAAGGAGTCGTTGTTCCCCACATCCCACTGGAAGTGGGCCTAGAAAATTGGGCAACTCTCCTTGCTACTGTGGGACATCAGATAAGGAATGGGAGTGATGCAGCTGGTGAAGAAAACTCAGTGTTTACTGCTTTTGGGGGACAAATGGTGTATGAAAAGACAAATGTATGGAAACGAGAGGGCTGGGGTTGAGAGCAACAGCAGTTCCATCATCCAGGGAACTGGATCCACCATCCATCACCCAGAGCTGCCCATGGCCATGGTGGAGCTCCACCAAAGCCCTCTTTGAGCTTAGTTACCATCATGTATTTCCCACGGGAAACATCCTGCCCTTCCCTTTCCTGCTCCCCTCCCAGTCCGTCTTTCCACACAGGTCAATACTCTGAATTTCCCCACCAGCCTGGGCAGTTCTGGTCCCCTCCACCAGGACCATGGGGAGGTGCAGCTGGGGCTGACGTCCCTCAGCCATCCCTGCTCTGGCTGAAAGGCACTTCTTAAACCTGGAGACCTGAGCAGTTTAGTGTATTTTATGTTCATTCTGGACACATTCAAAACCTGGAAAGTTTAGTGTTGAACTGTATTAAATTTTGCTGTGATCCAGAACCTCGAGTGCTGCATCCTGTTCTGGGCCCTCATGACCAGGACACTGAGGGGCTGGAGCATGTCCAGGGAAGGGAACAGAGCTGGGGAAGGGTCTGGAGCACCAGGAGCAGCTGAGGGAGCTGGGGGGGCTCAGCCTGGAGAA